TTTATGCTTAAGCATAAAGATCTAAAGAGGTGGGGTGAGATACATTTCCCTACCTTGCGTTTTTCTTTTCTCAACCTTAGTTGACCCATGGAACATTGAAAAGGAAGGGAATTAATCACTCCAGGCTGCAATGACGAGGAAAGGTTTGGTTTACTGATACCCTCCATCTCCATCTTCTGCTTAAGCTTTGGCATTTTAGATGGAATCCCCCAGACACGGATCCTTGTTGTCGATGTGAATCATCTCTCCCAAGCAATCAATGGCTGCCTACCCTATAGTGATCTTTACCGAGTTATCAGACACCTTGCTTGCCATCCCTTGTTGTGCCAGCTTGTCTTCATCTTCTGGTCCCACTTCACATTTTTGGTGGTCCTTCGATTTGCAGACTGTTGCCTTGGCTGGCTTCTTGTCTCCTTGCTTAATCTCAGTCATTCACACTCCTGAGGGGGGATGCTAACTGGTGGTGAGCCCTCTTTATTCTGCCTGCCTTTTATTTCCCAATCCTTTGTTCTCCTCCCAGGGACTGTAAACTACAACCCAGGACTGCCTGACTCAGAAGCATCAGATCTCTTGAACAGGGTTCTGAAATACATCCTTTCTTCATTCTATTTAAATTAGATCTGGGGACTTAGTTTAAGCCATGGGCAACTTGACTCACACCAGAATTTTGAAAGTTGACTCACCTCTGGGATTTAGCATATTATGCCTAAGTGCACATGTCCAGCACAGTGCTTCTTCCCTCTTAGCACCCATCTTTTCCAAACATCCAGAGTGCAGCTCAAAATGGCTCAGACCAATGCAGCTTGCCCCACTAGGAAAAGATATTGAGATGATGCTCATCATTTGGTTCATTTTGTTCTGGGTCTGACACGCAGTGTCTAAAGAAATAATTGAGGGACATTGATTGGTCCCTAGATTGGTTATTGTGATATCTGAACCCAGAATATTGGGTTGTTTGGGGAGAAAAAACCCAACTGAAGAACAAATTGTGGGTGTTAAATCTGGATTGTCATTACCTCAACAACCTAAAATTCTGAGTTTGGATGCCACAAAAAGCAACTCAGGAATGGAATATCTGTAGTTTAGCTTAGTGAGAGTAGGCAATCACTTGGGAGGCAGTGCGCTCATGCACTCCTACTGGTTCATAACTACCCAAGGCTTTAAAAAAAAAAGTTAAATAAACTTTGTGTAGTTGTGAGGTGTGAATTGGGTCATGAAGTTTCATGCTTTATTATTCATCTTTTCATTTTAATTAGTTACTGTGTTGTTATAATACATGCTTCCTTTCTGTTGTCTGCATTTTCAACTCTATTTCAAAAAAAAAATGCCATTGTTGTCTCCAAACTGACTTGCTTTAGCCAAGAAATAGTACCTGAAGTCTCTCTAATCGGTAACAAAATTTGTGGTTAAAGCTATCAGCATGAACATGAATGCAAACAAATTATCAGGCTTATAATTTGTGCACTTTTGCTTAAAGGTTCCACCTGTAGAAATACTATGCATTTGCTATGGTCAAAAAAGAATAAAAGGTTCAGATTTCAAGAAGCTCCTACCCAACCTACTGAACCTGCTGAAATGTGGAACAAAGCCTTACCAGAACAGTTCACAGGCAGGACTGCACACAAATCTACACTGTCCAATCCACCCGTGTTTTCAGGAGAACAGTCAGAACCTTCATTAAGGATCACATAATTCTTTTGTAAAAAATAGCATCCACAAAGGTTTTGGTTTTTCAATACTGCAGTAAGCCATGATAGAGAACATATAAGATGCGAAGCTTGATCCTCAGCATCTCCAGGTAGGCCTAGGAAAACATCCTGCCAGGAAATCAGGAATCAGTGTTGACAATGGTTTGAATCAATGGGAGGCAACTTTCTATATTCCTAATAATTCTGAACTCCCTAAAAAGTAGCATGGAACAGGATCCATCATTCTCTCTTTCACACAGAAGGAGCATGTTTGGCTACTATTGCATCTTGCTTTGCTTTACAAATTAATGTATTTTGATCACGCAAAATCTTGGGGAATGAAAAGGATAGGAGTCAGCTTGGGAGTGGAAAACCTATTAATTAGAGTTTCCTACTGCAGACACCTGATTTCAAATGGTGCAGACAAATGCAAAAGGATGTGTTAGCTATAAAATTAGTTGCATTGTCATACTAATAATTAAGATAAAGATGATAGAACTCACTGAAATGTTGTAATTCACTAGCGGGATGGCCATCTTAAGCCTGTTGCAGCAAAGAAAGTTGTTGTGCAAAGCAATGTTTGAATCACTGGTCTTTTTGCCTGTTGACACAACCTGTGCCAGGTAATACACCCTGCCATTACCTAGTCAGCAGAACCATTAGCAGGTATGTTGGCCTGCCATTTCACATAATGGTTTCATAAAACTGTTACGTGTATGGGTTTGACAGTGAAATCCTATTTATCTCTACTCAGGGTCCCCACTGAGTTCAATGAAATTTACGTTCAGGTAAGTGTATTGCAGCCCAAGTAATACTGGCCTAGCAATCTTGGATCTCTTTCTGTGTCTTTACACTTAATACTAAAAAAGTAGCACATACCCATACAAACTTGCACACCAAGCTGTTTTATTACTGTTATTCTTGTTCAATACAGGAATATTGTTTGCCAAATGTACTTATAGAATGATTTTTTTTTGAAGTAAGATCCTCAGATGTGATCTTACATGCTATATATTATCAAGAGAAAATTATACTTTTGGCATTGTATACACATCCTTTTTTGATACCTGAATGATAGCAAATCATTGTAATGCAATCTGAGCGATCATAGATGGCTTCTGTGCTATTTGGGCAACTTGTAAAAATGTTTGGGTTCTGCTTGTGCTGCCTTATTAGGAGGTTGAAGCTGCTATAGACACATCCATTCTTGAACCCTCCAGCTCCAGGCCAATCCTATTGTTGTATAATGACCCTGCTTTTTAAATCACATTGTTTTTATAATGTAAGGCCTAGTAGTTTGATGTGAAATCTACACATGTATCTGTCCTACTGTATGTTGACTTCTTGATGGTCTTGCTGTTGTGTGCTTCAAGATGTCATCTTGTCTCCAAAGCTATTTATTATCTATAAGAAGCCACTGGGTGTGGTCAGTAAAGGATTTGAGATGATGACACCCACATCTGTTTCTTCACTACAACTGAAACAGGAACTGGGCACAACCTATATTAGTACCTGGACACAATAGTGCAGCTGGATGAATAGTTAAGTTGAATCTGAATCGTAAGATGGCGGCATTGTAGGTAAGTAGTCCTTGGGTACAGGGGTTAAAGGTTACCAGGTTTGCATGGAGTTGCACTCCTGACAGAACAAGTTCATACCATGGGAACGGTTCTGGATCCACTGTCATGAGAGGTCCAAGTGATGTCAGTGACTAGACATGCTTGTATACCTGGGCAGGCATAGTCTGGCAACTATGATCCATTGCACTGGTAACCTTAAGAATAAATTATTGGGATGGATTACTGCAAGGTGCTTTGTAAGGTCCTGCCCTCTATGTGGGTTGTTTGAAAGTGGCAGCCACTGCAGAGTATGTGGCTGGCTTATGACTGGGGTGCCCTACCATATGTTAAGCCAAACTGGTTGCCAGGCTCCTACTGGGCTAGATTTCAAGTGTTGTTTGAAGGCACTAAACAACTTAGAACAAGGTTACTTCAAGGCAGCAATACAGGGCTGGGCTTTTTCTGCAGTGGTGGAAGCACTTTGATCCTTCCTCTTGTGGGTTCAACATTAGTATTTTTAAGTATTTACTAAAAATGCATCCTTTTACTTTAGTTTTCCCTAAGCAATGAGCTGTCATTGAATCAGTCTTTAGTTTCGTGCTGTTGTGTTATTTTCATTTGTAAACTGCTTTGGAATTTGTGCAAATGAGAAGCAGTAGAGCTAGTAACATAGCACCCTAACAAATTTGATTCTGAAATGGTTTACAATCACAGAAAAGCACATCACTTACATATGCACATATGTTATCACTGTGCATAGATGCTTACATGCTACAACTGCTACTGGTTTTCTAACACATGGATACTGCGAGTACATGCAATTAACTATGTATATGCAAGGCTGAAGTGGCCCTCAATCATCTACCCAAGAGAATAGCATTCTAAAAATAGGAATATTATGGTAACCAACACAGTTGGCAAAAGCTAGCATAATAATCTTAAAAGATTTTAAGGAAATGTGTGTGCATGGTAAGGGGAAAATCCTATGAGATAAACATTCCATTTCTGGGTTTCTAACTGAGCTGATAAACAGAGACGTCCAAAAAAGCCAGCTGTTCCCTTTCATATATTTGAAGTGCAGCTGGAATAATGCCCACAGAGTCTCCATGAAAATACTTTCTTTGAAAGCTGCTTGCTAATTATCTTTCAAGGGATTAATCCCACAAACATCAAAATAGGAAAGGGAGTTGTTGCCACCTAATGGTCAAAAGCTGCATTGCTTTGCACTGTAAAGATGGCTGTATGTTCACAGTAATTACTACACTGACAGTTTTCTCCTAAATTGTTAATGCCAGCTGAGAATATACACGCAACCATGAAGCAGTCTTTGTGGGACATGGATGAATTATGATAAATACAGCTGAGTTAATCTGAATGCAGCACAGCTGCAGTTTCCCCTTTCTAAGTCTTCAGCAGATGCTACCTGGAATTTTAAAGTTTTGTTGTTGCAACAGTGAATCTAGAGACCTGACTACATACATGTATTATTTGAAGATTCTGTCCTAGAGCCTATGCACAATGTGATCACACTTTTCTAGAGCTTCTGAAAACAAAACAAGGTAGTGAAATTGCAACTCTGTGTTTGCCACATTGTAACTTCTGATTCATTCTCTTTAAAAATAAAAATAGAGCTCTGATTACCTATTTACTCAAAGACTGCTGGATGCCACAGCATGTGGCTATTTTAAGGATTGCCCATTACACACTCCTGTGTTGAGGAGTGCAGTGAAAAACAGGGAGCTTCCAAAATCCATCTATTTAAAATACTGTTTATTTGTTGATTTAACATTAATTAGCATTACATCTATGAGCAATTTCCAACAACATTTATATATCTTTTTCCACAGGACACTGAGTTGGCTGGCTCATTCTTTATGCCAAAGCAAGTAAATAGAGGCATTAGCAAAAAAAGGTGCAAATAGTTCACGGTTGCAGTTTTTAAAAAATATTTATGCACATTGCATTCATTTAGATACATTTTTAAAAGTTATGAAAAGCATAGTTCACAGGTTACTGTTTCTACATATGTTGTAATACAACACAAAAAATGTAGAACATAAAGTTAAACAACTTAAAAGAGTCGCACTATGTTTTTTTTTTTTTAAAGAACACACTGATTCCAGTATTTTGAGATACCTGGATATCATTCCAGAGTCACTCCAGCGCTGCATTGTCACACTTACACAGTCACAGCTAACCAGCCCTGTAACATGCTATAGTAATTTTTGCATGCCAAACCACGCCCCAGCCATATTTAACAATCTATATACGGTATATATTTGAACTAGAAATCTGGGAGTCACATTGATACTTGAGGAATATTTGCTCTTGTGGCTATTGATGTACAAAGGCTAGTTTCAAAGGCCCTAGGTTCATTTCATATTTAGTGTGTATTTACAGGTGTCTTTGTGTTGCTTTGTTTTAAGTCTGAAGCAAAATAAAACTACCAACAAAGAGAAACAAGTGGCAGGATCAACACATACAGTGCTAGTCTAATTGGTTCTACAATTCTTTGAGAAGGCAAAACTCAGATTAAAATGTTCCTATTTAAATCTATTACGACAAAGGGGAAAAGTGTGGCACTTCATATATGAAATTGGTATACATTATTTTACCATTTTAAAATATGAAATTGCTGTTCAATTTAATAAAAATACCCCCAAATTCATACCATATATTTTATGAAAAATAACCCACAAACTACTACTCTTTACCTCCACCACTTTAGTCTTTCCATTTCACTTTCCCATTTTCAGTTTTGGCTCCTTCATTTGGTCATGGGCCTTTCCAGTCGATCAGTTCATAGTACAACATATATGTAGTTGCTTCTGCTTTGTTTCATGGGATCAAACCTCCATCCCTCAAGGAAGCACAACTGTTGCGGGGATATTGCATTGTACTTAGATTCAGATGGCACTATACTGTCACTTCAGCACAGATGTTCCTTCCCTAGCTAGTGGGAGCATTGCCACTTGGGAATGTTGTCCAGAATGTGGCTGCACGAGCACAACAGGTTCAAGCAGTGCCCAGGGTGCACTGCTGATCAGCAACCCGACTGGCCATTTGGGGACCCTAGCACCCATGTTTTTCCTGTAAGGAGGGAACCTGAAACTAAGCCTCTCAGGCAAAGGGTGGAAACAGCCCTTCTGATTTTAACTTGACCAGCAAGTTCCCAAGACTTTGCCTTGAGACTTTAGCTGGACTTGCTAGATTAAACCAGTCAAGCTAAAATTGAGCTAGGGCCTGTTCTGAACTGATCTCCTGGATAGGCTGTATGTCAGGAAGATTATTTTTCTTCATACAATAGCAATACCATGAGAAAAAAATATAGTAAGATTTAAACCTGAATCCAGATAAATTTGTATGCTTTCAACGTCTGGTATCAGAAATTCTGGATTCCTGAATTATCTTTAAGTATACTCTACACCAAGCATCCTTAAATATGTTCTACTGTTAAATGCTTGGTTTGCATGCCTATAATATTTTATACTGAGTGGTATACAAAAATTTCAACATATAAAATTCTTTTTCTGTTTTGCCATAATTAAACTAAGTTATCAATGTTAAGCGTATAAAATCCCCTTTATTGAAAAATAAGGGCTTTCTCCCTGCCCCCCAACTGATAGAATAAAAAAAGTTTTCAAAAATTATATCTTACTAAAATGAAATATTTGGCAAAAGTTATTGTTGATGAATGTAATCTTACAGAGTGTGTAAAATTCCAAATGCAGTTCCTTTTACAGGTTTCCCTCTAATATTATGTGCCAGTGTATAATAAATGACCTACTTTTGAAAAAGTTATAGTGAGAAGCACCCTCTGAGGCAGGGATAAAACAAATGCTATGGCCAAGATCACAATACAGAGAAGTATCATCCAATTATACAGTGAGGCAGTAGATTAATAAAGAAACATCTGATAACTCAACAGCTACTTTAGTGAAACTGTGCTGAACATTTTCTAATCAAGAAAAGTCTCCATGTGTAACTTGCTACCATAAGGGTATCTGAAATCACTATAGTGCTATGTTGGAACACCTGCCAGTGTAAGTCTGTGGTGGAACTATTCCATATTTCAAACCCTTATAGTAATTCTTATTCATACTAATTAAGAGATGAATTCTTCGTTTAAGTAACAAACTTTTTCTATTATTTTTTCCAGTTCTGTTCTTAGGTTAAGGCCCAGTTTCCTGCACAACCCTACCTAACTTGACCATGTTAATGGCTGACTAAAAAGTGGGTTTGAAATGCGCAATGTCGCCTCAGGCTTCTACTTTTTCCTTCTTTTTGTTCTTTTTCAGAAAAGATGGAGTGCGGAATTTCTTCTTTTTCTTTGATGGTGATTTGGAAGGAGAGCCTTCAGGGGACAGGGCCTCCTCAATCTTTTCAGAGATCTTAATTGTAATCTCTACATTCTCTACAGTACTAGTGGTTAACTGGCTAACTCTTTGTGCAAGATCTTCTTCCACATCATGTGCATCATCTTTACCATTCATCACTACAGCTGGGAGATCCAGGGAGATGAGGCTTGCATCTTGTAGGTAATCATCATCATTTTCTGGAGAAAGAAAAGGGGGACGTATTTTACTCTTTGTTGTGTTGAAGATTATACAGTAATTCTACAAATGTGGGACCTTGAGAGTATATCCAATAAAGTTTGTATTTGGGGCTGGTCTCCCTCCCCAGCTCCAACAAACCCCACAAAACTGCTCAATTTCTTCCTTTCCATCATTTAAAACAAATAAGGAATTTAATTCATGAGCAATATTAATTGTCAGACACCCAGATCCACATTTTTAACTAATCCTGCATGCAATTAGACATATATAAACCATATTTCTGATTAGAATGTGATGCAGTGACAAACCCTTAGAGCAACATCATGGCCTGTTATGTTAGCCTGGTATTCTAGATCAATGTACACACATCAAGCGGAGAAAAATGTGGATGCTTTCCTCCATGAAAGATGCAAACACAAATTGGTGCCAGAACAATATATCAATTGATGCTGAAAATGTCTGTAAGTGACCTGTTCTGAAATATGAATGAGATTACAGCCAAGTTTTCTCCAATAATCCGTATGGAGAAGACACTGGAACTCTTTGTTACGATAAATCCAGAAAGATTCTTAAATGCTATCAGAAACAAATTCCAGCATTCACATATTGGAAAGGCTACTAGATTTTCCTTGCCTGAACTAAAGACTTAAAAATAATAGTTGGCCAGGAAGGATATAACAGGTGCATGACATTGCACAGGATGTTTACAATGTATACCTTCTACTTTGTCAGGGACATTTTGTGGGGACTGAGTTTGAGAGTTAATTTGTGAAACAGATGACCCATCATCTGAGAATAATTCCTGATCAGCATCTGCAGGACAAGAGCTTGAGTTAGTAAAGCCATGCCAAAATAAATGGAACACAAAAAGATCAGTATGTTAGTGCATACACAACATAAGCAACTTGGCTAGCACTGACCTAATCATGCTCATCTTTTAAAAGAATTGTATTATCCTCTTACCATATTAGCACTCTATGATTATTAAATACATAACACAAAAATGGCTCCAAATATTTAGAAGAAAGCATACCATGAGAATATACTTTGACTTAACTATAAAACCATAACTATATTTAAAAAGACAGAACACTATGCAGGGTTAGGGCTGGAAAAACTAGTATTAAGCAATAGAAAATTAGTAATTCTTGCTTTATTAAAGATCCTTATCAGATGTTTTGAATGAAGATGGGTGAAAAAGGTTGTTGAAATACAGTATTTTTTACCTTTGAATCTTTATGCTTTCAAAAATAAGAAAGTGGCAAGTTAGAAGATTGCTAGCTGTAATACTGTGATCACAGGCAACAGAACATACTATTGTCAGACTATTTTGCTAGAAAAAATGATGATTTAAGAAGTCTTACCTTTTAGTAAGCAAATTGCACTGCTGAACAAATCTGGTAATAATCTCTCATTTCCTTTAGCTAATATATAATACTTTATTTTCTAATAAAGACTGACAGACTCTTATATTAGTAACAAGGAAAAGCAATACAACTGTACAACAGATGCCATCAAATGTACTGTATCCTAACCCTAACCCCCTTCATAAAATTTAACAAGTACTCATTTTTATTCTGAGATTTCAAGATTCTGAGATGCATGTTCCAAGAACTTGGAAGTGAAGGATAAATGAAGGATGAGAAGTCCCGGCTTGGTCAAGAAACCCTTTTATTTTTTAGAGAACAGGGAGATGTTTTCATCCTTGATTCCAGTGGGAAATGTATAAAGAGGAGGGCAACAACAGAATTTTGTGGAGGGTGCGAATAAATGATGGAAGTAATAGCAGCCAGGATTTCAGAAGAAATATGGAGGGCTTACAAGGTGGCCATGCTGTAGTAATATTGTACAGAAAGGCAGGTTAAGGTAAAGAGATTGTAGTAGATTTCTTTAATTTTATTACTGAAACATCTTGACATAAGGCATGTGTTTGTGTGAGAACAATAGGCTTTAGGACAGATACATATAGGACAACAGATACATTGAAGTATTATTCAAGTTTCAGTAATGGTTCTTCTTAAGTTATATAATGATACATCTCTCTGTTATCCTAGGCACCAAGTGCAGATTCCTCTTTGAGTTAGAAATCACATCTATTAATTTCAGCTTTTTAATCTCCATTCATCTAAGAAGACTTTAAGGTTGCATAAGGTTCAAGATTTTATTGTCACAATAAATGTAGCAGGAGAACAAGGCCCTTCATGAACACTAGTAACCCTCAGTTTGGAAGCACCCTAAGACTCCTAACAAGAATGAGTGTTATTTCTTAAATATAAACAAGTGAAGACTTTTAAAAGTGGAGTTACTGAGGTGGTGGTGGTGGCGGCAGCTGCTACTGCTACTAATAATAATGATAATAGCTTTAGTTTATGAATTGAAAACATTCACAATTCATTTCAATTATGTTAATTCAAACTTACTCCACTCAACTGAAGTGTTCAGGTAATCAGAATACTTACCCTCTACTCCTTGTTGCTTGCGTTCGATTGTCCGCTTGTACTCTTCCAGTTCCTTTTCTGTGAGATGACTGAATGGATTGGGAGGTGCTGGTGGGGCATGCTCATCTTCTTCAAACTGCATGGGCTACAAGAGAAAATTGAACAAATTAAGAAATAGACAGCAATTCCTCAAAACAAGCACACTAAATAGTGTTGAAATCTTCATATACATTATAACATTCCTTAAAACAAGAATCTGAGTGTTGATGCAGTTGAAAAGCAACTACCAGTACTCAAATTATGTTAACATACACTTAACGACTAAGTACACTGAGAAGTACTTCATTTTATCTTTTCTGAATCTCCCACCATTTAGTTTCACTGGATGTCTCCAGGTTCTTTCATTCACATTCTCTACACTATCCCTATTTTAGATCTCTAGCATGTCTCCTTTGTTGTTTGACCTTGATCCTTTGGTTGTTTGTTTCTGCTCTTTTATTCTCTCTATAATGAGATTTGTAACTGGAGCTGTAAACAGTATTCCATGTGCAGCTTAACCTTAGATTTGTATAAATCAATATAATGGGGCAGTTTAAAAAAAATCCTTTCCTAGCCATCCTCAACCTGGAATTCATCTTTTTCATGCACTAGGTTGACATTTTCCCCAAGCTCTCCAAGGGGACATTTTCCCCAAGATTCCTTTCCTGATCAGTCACTCCTATGTCAGAATCTATCAGTATATATATGAAAATGGGATGTATTTGCTCCAGTTTGCATCATTTTACCCTTGCTTTCATTGAATTGCATTTGCCATTTTGATTTCCTTCTCATTTGGAGAGATCTCTTTGGAGCTCTTCATTTCTTTTTTTTGTTTTAACCATGCCAAATAATGGCACCATCAACAAACTTTGCTATTTCAAGAATATACAGAAGAGTGCTTTCATTAGCCCAGTGTAACAACTTTAAATCAAAACAAACTTTAATTATGAAGAGCAACTTGCTGGTCTGAGAAAGTTTGCTCAGCTTTCCTAGTCATTGTCTACCTGATCGGAATTAAGAAAGCAGAATGCGAAGAGTAATTTGTACTCTATTCTGCAAGTGGCCATTTGTACCCTACTTCTCCTTTGTCTGAACAGGCTTAAAGAAACAATGAGAAAGGGTCCCATGCAGATGCAACAAAACTTCATGTTTACATGCTGACTATGCTTCAAAAGTTTTTTTCCCTCACTTGGACAATGGATAGACTTACAGCACTGGGCTTTTTATCCACCACTATTCCTGCAAGCAGCTGAGACTGTGGACCAGCAGTCTTTAAGTCATACCGATTTTGCTCTCGAATCTGGAAACAAAAACAAAGGCATCATGTTTTGAAAGCATCAGTTCTCTCTACTCCACAGACACACTGAAATATAAGGAATTCCTGACTTGATATGAGGCATAGGAAGCAGATACTAGAACTAATCTATCACCCTACTGTTAATGCTTTTATTCTGAACAATCTAGAGTGCTTGCAGTTCCTTAAACATGACAATATAGTATTTTTGCTTGAACATGCATTTGAAATATTATCTATATATAAACATACAGAGATATGTTTATATATATATATATATATATATATATATATATATATATATATAGATATAGATATAGATATATAGATAGATAGATAATATATAACCTGAGTTATTAGACTTTGTTTCCACACATTTATATATCTGGATCAAGGGTACTAAATTTGAAAAAACAGTGAATTGTTATGCAAGGCAAGACATATATAGTATATTATCAGTCTTGCATATCATCTGCCTCAGACCATCTACACAGCCTCAAGCCCACCCTACTTTGACCTAGCTTGAATCACAAACTGACATTAAGCATTTTCATTTGTGAACTACAGTTCTGCTGATTCTGTTGCTAATAGAGCATTTGAAAATCCAGACAGAACCTATCTAACAACAATATTCTTCATCTTCTATTGCAGCTATCCTGAGTTCAAAGTTCTGCGGTACACAGCTAATGAATAGAACACAGCTCTTCACTTTGACAGTCTGCCTGCAAAAGCTGGGTATCTAGAAAGGACAATACTATTATAAATGGATGTCTGGATGAAACTCTTGCATTGATGCTTTCCAAGAAAGAGAGCAATATCTTCTGAACCAAGTAGACTCCCTCAGGATAGTGCCTTAGCCCTTTGATCACTAGCAGATGTGAAGTCAGAAATTCCCAGACCTTTTAGATGAACCATCATGTATCTGGCAGAACAATCATTTCCTAGGGTGGAGCTTGAATTTGTATGAAAAATCAAAGAAAGCATTGAGGACAAAAAGCAGCCAGCAGTCTGTGCTTACAAAGAATCTCTTGTCATTATTTCTCATTGCCATTGTTAAATACCCTAGCTGACCAAGAACCAACTAGGCAGAAAACAGCAGGATTCAGGCTACCAGGGTAGACCACCACTGGTGGAAAATATCTAGCTCTTCATTGAAAAATGAATAAAAGAAGGAAAGTCCAAAACAGCATAATGTTAAGGGCAACATGGAAGAAAATATCAACTTAAATACTCTTCTTTACAATCAGAATAGGCACTTTTGATGCAGCTTGAACAATTAACCAGAATAAAATTACCCAGAATAAAACTACAGAAAATTTTAGCAAATACTAAACACTGCTGTACTCCAAGGCTGCTTTCAAACTACCAGTAAAACTAATGGTTTTTAATGCTATTTAGACAAGCAGGATAATTTAAACATGAAGAAAATGAGAAATAGCTCCATGAATTTGGCCATACCCGATTCCTCTTTTCCAATACATCACTTGGATTTGTATTCAGAGGAACAAACTGGTTTGGATCTTCAATTTTGATCGGAGTTCCTCCACTAATCTTAGATGAGTCTTCAGCTTTGATCCACTTGGGAAAGAAAAAAATGTGTTAAGAGATGTCAATAATAAAGAGGAGTGCATTTTTGGACAGAGATGGCTGTGGGCAGTTTTATGGAAAACAGTTTATATTCAACCAAGCAAACAGCCCACTAATTAGTTTTTGCCATGTAAAATAGCTTCTTGGTACATAATTACAAAGAAATATTAATAAGTACAATGGTCTTCTTGCTTGAATGCATTTTAGGTATTTTTAATTATCTGAAAAGTTTAGATATCAAAGTAACAAAGTTACTTTACTTGTAAGGACTCCACTGCCAAAATACTATTCTAATGAGAAAAATATGCAAAGTGTTTCTTGATTTATCACCCTGACAGCTTTTGCAATTAGGTACCTGCACTGTTCCTTTAAAATAGTACTTCTCATATTGTTGATTACTGAAAACTGATGATAAAAGCAACAAAAAGCATAGTTAAAGTTGTTAAACCACCAGCAGATGGAGCTGATTTTGAAATTGAAATGTATGCTGCAGCCAAATACATTAGACTTGCCTAGCATAATATTTATTTTTTATATAAACTCTCTGGGCAGTAGTGGGAGAGTGGAATCCTATCCTTGGGACAGTGTGGCAGAGATGTTTTCTTTGTATTGCAGCATCTTGCAAAAAGGACTCTACAGAAAAATATTGGTCTTGGATGCTAATTGTTCTCAGGAAACATAAGCTACCTTCTAGCTACTAGGAATACAGGAAATTAGGACCCTCTCCCAGCCTCACCATGAGATGCTAGGGGGTGAACTGGAGACTGCACTGCTAAGCTGTTTAAGACACAGAGGATGGGAAGAAAGATACACAGGTTTCTTCAATTAATTCCCTGCAGACCCAAAGATACTAGCATATGATCTGTGTATAAGAGATTCAGAGAAGAGGGGATAATTCGCTGCAACAGGGATAGCCTTGCTGTGAGGTGCCACGAGCACCACACTTCTTAAAGACCAAATGATGTGCTACCTATAAAAGAGTACATACATAGATTGGGTTTGGAAGACAAAGCAACTCATCATGGGTAATAAATGGGAAGGCTTACAATTTCTGATCTTCCCAAGCTCCTAGATTCTTGGTAAAGAGTGAAAAGTGTGAGGACACTTAGAAGAGTCAGACCCCACCAAAACAAACAAACCAACCTACCTATCTAGAGGGTTTTGCTCTGAATGCCATGATCTACTTGCCATTCCCTTTCAGGAGCAAAGATCACTCACAGTTTTGCTTCCCCTTTTGACAGCTGCCAAGATAGTGCAAAATTATATACATGTACACACCCCTATTTGGGTCAATGTCCATAGCTGGTGTCTGCTGTACTTTGACAACAGACACCTTTCAAGGCACTGGTCGCATGAGGTTTCTCATTTCTGAGCCATGATAAACTGCATCTCTGCACTTGTGCAAGTCTGACTTTTTAATGCATTACACTTCTATACAATAGCTGAAGCTCTCTGGAAAATTCACAACAAATATAATATGAAAAGTAAAAGTTTCAACTACAGTATAAAATAAAAGTGAAAGCCAGTGTGTTGCAGTGATTAAGAAAGGGGCTGGGATTCAGGAGGTCTGGGTTTTAGTGTCCATTCAGTCATGGAGCTTAATGGGTGACTCTGGGACAGTCACAGACTCTCAGCCCAACCTACCGCACATGGTTGTTGTTGTGAGGGTAAGACTGATAGGAGGAAATTATGTAAGCAACCTTGAGTTCTTTGAAAGCAAAAAAAAGGCAGGATATACATACAATGAAATAAATACATGCAAAAATAACATCAAGAAGCAATGCAACAATTCCAAATACAATGTAAGATTTTAGTCTTTCACAACTGAGAAAGACTAAAATTCCTGGAAAAAAGGAGGTCTTCACTTGGCACTAGAAAGGTTACAGTATAGGTAGCAGATGAACCTCTCTGTAAAGTTCAGAGAAGGCTCACTTCTTGGTAGCTACACATTAGACTTCCTGCAGGACCACCAAGGATGATCTTAGGGTCTGGGCAGGTATATATGGGAGCAGATAATCCTTCAGGTAATCTTGCCGCAAGCCATTTAGGCTCTGAATGTTAACAGTAGCACTTTGAGTCAGGTTCAGACATGGACTGGCTTTCAGCGCAGAAGGTAAAATACAGATCTAATATGTTAAAGTTGCCCAGTTCCTATTAGCAATCTTGCTGCCCTGGTTTGGACCACCTGAATCTTCTCAACCATTTTCAAAGGTAGTCCTATGTACATATAATGTATTGTCATAATCCAGCCAAAGATTAGCAGAGCACAGATAATTGTAGCTAGGCTATCCCTGTCTAAATAAGAGTAGAGGTGGTATATGAACCTAGGTTGATAAAAGGTGCTCCAAGCTACTGTGTACACCTGTGCCTCTAGTGAAAATACTGGATTCAAGAGCAACCACATACTACTTTACCTGATTCTTTAGCAGAAGCTCCAGAACAGTTTGAATATCATTCATCTGGGCAGAGAAACCACTGGAATGAGACTTAATGGCCTCTTATCCAAATTACTCTAATGCCCATACACTGATTCAGAACAGCCACTGGCTCACCTGCATTTGATTAAACCATGAGATCGAATCATAGAATCATAGAAGAGTAGAGTTGGAAGGGGCCATGAAGGCCATTGTGTCCAACCACCTGCTGTTGCAGGACACCAATTTACACTATCCCAATCAGATGGCTGTCCAGTTTCTTTTTCTGACTGTCTCTAGTGTGGAAGAGCCCACAACCTCTCTAGGCAACTGGCTCCACTATCATATTGCTCTGACATTGAGGAAAATTTTCCTGATATCTAGCCTGAAAAAGTGATGACACCTTAGCCCCTAATTCCAAATAACATCTCCCAGAGGTTTCATATAAATATTCAACAGCATGGCGGATAAAACTGAACCATGTGGTTACAGCATAACTGCCAATGCATTGATCAGTAATCTCTAAGCACCACCTTCTGAAAGTAGACATCTGTATAGGCAGAACCACTGCAGTGCTTCCATCTCCCAACCCAGACAGCCTTTCTAGAAGAATACATGGTCTATGGTATTGAAAGCTGCTGAGGTATCCAAGAAATTGACAAGGCATTATGAAATGATGTGCTTGGAACTGACTGGCAAGTACCTACTAAAGCACCTTACTAAGAAAGTAAATGTTGGCTACTGGCCTAGAGTTATTATCATCAGTTGGGTTAGGCTTTCTGTCTGTCTTTGAGAAGCTATTTCCTTTCAAGAGGCTAGAACTACCTCCTCTCTCAAGGGGGAATTTATGACCTCCTGCACCCAGCCTGATACCCCCTCCTCACTACAGGCAATGTCTTAAGAGGGTCCCCATCTTCGTAGAGGGGAAAGACTTCTGAGAGGCTAAACCTCCATAAGAAGTGATCCAACAGGATAGATGTCAAGTCCCACACTATCAGAGCACCATCTTTCTGCCCAGTTGGGAAAAGCTGTTGACATAAGGACAAAATTATCATAGAAACAGGAATTATATCTGTACTGATGGAAAGCATTCCATTATAAAATTGATTTAAAATATTGTATTCACTTTCTATTAACAAATATAAAGGCTAGAATCTTCTGGAGGTGCATGTGATTCCTCTAGAAATCAAGAAGATGTCATGGAGAACTGCAGCCAAAGTTTGCATTTGTGCTCACTGCTCTTTTCCTCAGGTGGGTTAGTTCTTCCAAAAATACAGCTATTAATGGACTCCTCACTGAATAATCATTAATACCACAATTTTACACAATTAATACCCAAATTTTTCAATAGAAGCCTATTCCCATCCTCTTTAAGATATACTATTAAAATCATTAGAAGCTGCTTACTGTTGTTTTAGTCCGGGGACTTGTTTCTCCATTCCGAGATTCTTCAGGAACATCTACTTTCAAATATGTATTTGGAGAGTTTAGCCATCTTGTCTTCTCCCGTTGCTGTTTCTGTGCTAGGAATTTGAGTGGCGAAATTGGAACTGGATCATCCTCAAAGGAAAAGGCAGTCACAGTTGCCGGGATCTCAACATCACTCTTGTGCCTGGGTTTTTCCCTCACTAGGGGTTGTCGATAAGCATAGCCTGTTCTGTAACCCTGTAGAAGAGGAGGTGGAATATTTATTTATTGTTTCTGGACATCACTAAAAGATTGGGCATAGAAAAAGCAACTGCCAGTTGAACATTTCATCAAGAATACATATACCACACGAAATGCTGAAAATATCATATAAACTGCCAGCATTAAACTTAGTCACTAAAAACAAAATGCCAAGATCCCCACCCACTAGAGAGAGGAGGGGTATTCTAGGACTTGCTCTCCGGCACTTCATCTCTTTGAAAATGATGTGCTCTCTAGTAAAGACACTTATACTATCACCTGTGAGCCATTATACAAGGTAGCTGTAGAATATTCTTGGTATGACAAGGTAACAGCTGCAGCATATACTTCTGATAATCCTTATGCTGAGAGGCCAAGGTTTCCAAAATAAGGAAGTGTGGAAGACATACAAGATTTTCTAATAGGTGTCTGACTATTCACAAAATATTGCTTCAACCTTTGTCAAATCGAGTGTCTCTTAATTTATCAAATCAAGATGGAGCCCAGTGCTGGTGGCTTCTACTCAGCACGTATTCTATTACAAATACATGCAAAAATGTACATACATGTGCAACTAAATTGCACATAGTGCTATCAGTGTGGGAAAAGCACAAAATGTGAAGTAGTGCCATTTATCAAGGAAATAAAAGTACATATTTTAAGCCAATAACAGGAGACTGAAGAACTGGCTTTTTTACTGCACCCTAAAGAATATGTGTGCTTTTCTATGCAGTAAAATCTTAGTCATATGTGCTGTTCATACACTAAGATACTCATCAGAGGTCCTTGTACAGGTTTCCCTGTAATCCAAGCTATTGGATGTCTAATGGGGGAAAGCATGGTAGTAAAGACAGTCTCTTTAGAGAACTGTCCCCCTGGGATGCACACCTAAATGACCCTGGCCTTGTGTTAGGTCTTTTAATTTTAATTTAATCCAGCTTAGTTTTTTTTGTATCTAGATATGTTGCTGTTCTCTTGTTTCTGGTTGTAGCAAGATATGTTGTTACTCTCTTGCTTTTGTTATTTTTGTGCTTATGTAGCACATATTTTTCAATGTGTATGCTTCTAACTGTTTTGTTGTTTTTAAGTTTTTCAAGCAAGTAACATTTGTCAAGAAGTGTTATTCAATGTTGAGGCATAATTCCTTGAATTATCACTCAATCATTCTGCAGTATTATGAAAACTGTACAATGCCACATCGATATAAGTAGTTATATATTGAATATTGAGTTAAGCTTACTTCACATGGACATTTTATTTTCAAATCTCAATTTACTGGGGATAAGGTGAGAGAAAGAAATGCTAGAATTTCTTAATGCACAACCTTAGAAAATAAATTCTTCAAAATATGAGAAGCTATAGATTAGACATATGCACACACCAGGTTGTCCAGCATCCTCATCACTGCTTCAAACTCTAGTTCTCCAACTTTCCACTTGAACTGAGAGGCCATATTGACTCCAACACCTGCTGCCACATCGTGTGTGAAAGGTTTATACTTCTGGAAGTCTAGGACAAGAAGATTGTCTATGCCGCCTACAGACAAGGCATGTACCTGTGATATAAATGACACAGTCATTTGCATTCTTACAAGTACTCCTTGAAGACTAAATTTGTAGCCTTCCTGAAAGAAAATATTTGTCATTATTGTTCCTGTAGAAACATTAAGACATATAAAAATGATAACCATCTTGTAAACTACAGTGATAACAAAACACTTTTGCATCATAGCACATTGTGATCTAGAAATATTAAACATAACCAGTTTTCCTTTCAACCCATGGCTTTCTCATACGTAGTTACTTAGCAGCATGCACTCTATCAGTGTCAACATTGACTAAGGATATTAGAAAGTGTAGCATGTACATAGTGCATTTGAAGCATCTGAAGCATTTAAATCACATCGCTCTCACCTGTGTTTCACAAGCTAATTGCACATTGTAGATGTAGTGGAAAGCCTCCTCTAACGTTTCTCCCAGTGCTACTACCCCATGGTTTCTCAAGACCAGCACCTAAGGAGCAGAGACATTCATAACTGGCAGAAACTGATCAGGTACTAGAAACCTTTAATAAAAATATTAAGTATGGTGGAATACCTTACAGCTTGGTCCAAGAACTTTCTGGAGTTGAATCTTCTCTTCTTGTTCATCTAGAGATCCTTGATAATTGTAATATGCAACTTCTCCCAGAATCAAAGCTTCCTGAGAGATAGGGAGTATACCACACTTCATGGAAGAAACCTATTTCAAAGAAATAACATTTCTAATGTTGAAGAAAATTGAAAACTGTAAAGTAGTAGAACAATTCATGCCCAGACAGACTTCCATCATGTTTGGGGAATCTTATGGATTTATTGCTAATACATGACTTTGAGGCAAATGTGGTCAAGAGGGATAGCTTCAGAACTGAATGGTGTGATTGACCAGTGGGTTCTAAACGAAGACAAGATTCCTCAAACACAGCCTGCGCATAGAGTTTTGAAGGCTAGCTAGGCTGCAAGGACTGCAGCATGCTGGATTGTCTAGATCAAGGACAGATTCTAGAAACAGGACAAGAAAGTTTATTCTTTCCTGACATTGTTATCTCTAAGCAGCTTGCATATGGTTACAACACTTTCCTGTTTTTTTAAAAAGCAGTTACTAATTCAAGGGAATTACAATTACAAGTAGTATATAGAAATAATACATTTTACAGATAAGCAACACACACAAACATGCTAAAAAGAGAGCTTTCTCAATGTGTGTTCATTAAAGATTCTTTGGTGACCTTTTTATTTCTCAGCTATGCTATACATGTAATTAGTTTCGTTGACATATTTTGACACATTAACCTGGATGAGCACAACATATTATGAAATGCGCTCCCCAGAGAGGTCCGCTTGGTGCCATCGTTATTTGTTTTTCTGCGCCAGGCCAAGACCTTTTTATTTAAATGTTATTTTAATTAATTGATGATTTAATTATTGGTTTTAAATTATTATGCCAGGATGTTTCCGTTTTTATGTATTTGAACTGACATTTGTTGGAAGCTGCCCCGAGGTATATGCGAATGGGGTGGCATACAAGAATTCCAACTAACTCACTAACTAACTAAATAAATGTGCTGCATTAATTTACATCAATATATGATCATGGTACACTTTGAATTAGATTTGTGTTGCATGAATTTCATCTTCATGTGTCATGCTTTGTGTCATGCTTATCAGATGTTAATAATACAAACTCTGAAAATGTAGTCACATTCATATTGGCATGAGTTATATCTAACACTGGAGTTCCATAAATCAGAATTTCTTTAGCTTTTTGGACCTGTGGGCACATTTGGGAGCTTGAAAAGCTGCTGTGGGCACCACTGCTGAATGGTTCCCACGGGATGGGAACTGTTACAGTTGCTGTTAGGGCCTGGCTACTCAAAAGAGGTGTGTGGAGTGAGTGGTGGGGAGTAATAACCAGGCTAGAGGATGGGAGGAAGCAGGAAATAGCAGGTAAAAGGGTTTCACTCTATAGGCAAGGAAGGGAGAAAAACAACAAGGAAAGGGTTTGCTTGTAGAGATATAGCAAAGACAGAGGCTGGGAGCAGAGAGATAAAGGGGAAAAGAGGACTGGGTACAGCCGGGAAGACACTCTTGTCTTGCTTGCTGAAACAGCTAATCAGTAGCAGGTACAGAAGCTGGAAGCAGAACCTGGAGCATTCGAGTTTTTCACTTAAAAATTAATAAAAATACCTTTCTGAAAGGAGCAGGGAGTGAAGAGTTTTGTAGATGCTGCACTGGGAACACATACTGGGAACAGTAAAAGTTCCAGTGGAAGGAGTGGAAAGAAGTTTCCTTAAGAGAGATAATTACCTCTTGTTCGGTTTCCCCTTTATAATACTGTATAAATTACAGTTAATATGAATAAAGCTACCTTGACAGGACAATCACTTATGAATGTGAGAACTAAAGCTAAAAGAGCACTGCTGGAGTTTCATACATCTGACATAAGCCCACAAATAGCCCAACCCATGACAATGAGAGGATGCTTGAGAAGATGACAGATGAGTGGTTGGTTGAGCAGCATTCTATTATTGTCTTGCTTATTCATTTCACAACATGAATTGGTCTGACTATAACAAACTCTACTTTAGTAGTGGATACTGAAACTTCCTCTTCCTTATGTCACATTAAGAACAGACTTACAGCTGCTGTTGCTGGTGTGTGTATGTGGATTGCACATCGGACATCAGGGCGCATGGAGTAGATAGCTGCATGAGGGCTGAATCCTGCACTATCAATGCTTAGATTGGTGCTTCCCTGGTCAACCACATCTCCTATGATATTTACTTTTACCTGGAAAGGCAAGTAAAATAAACAAGTCAGGAAAACAGGAAAATATTTCAAATCTGACTGCAAGTAACTAAGGAACACAGGATGACTTTTAAAGTTCATTAGAATAGCAAAATGGAGCATGAATTTTTCACAAGAATTTTGTCAAATAGCGATTTGTGCTTCAATCAACATATATGTTAATATTACAATAGAATATGTTTCTAGAAAACTGGTATTTAATATATAGTAGCATCCTATTATAATTCAAAGTCTGTAATTATTTTGCTTATAACTTGATTGTAATATTACCTGATTGGATTATAATACCACCATATAAAGTTCTCTATTCCCTACACCTCTGGCATAGATTATTGCAAACTGCTTACATATTTTAACTGGAATACAGTTCCAAAAATAGATGATTTTTAAAGGAATTTTCTTCTGAGTTTACCTAAAATATACAGTTGTACCTAAAATAAGTTGAACACATTTCCATATCAAAACACTAAATTCTGTCCCCTAACTTTGCTTACCTACTTGTATTCCACTTTTACCTGTATCCAATATTTTATATAAACAGAGTAACCGTTTTTCCATATCTGAATGCAATAATTTTCCAGTGTAGTATAATTTAGAGCTCTATCTACCTGTCTCAAAGTTAAGTGAATATAGGTTCTAATCAACAAGTAATTCCAGCTTCCTTGCTGTACAAATAGCAAAGTTATTAATTAGTGGGGCTGGAGGGAATATTTATACTTCCAAAACATTTTCCTCAGCTCTTCACAATTGCACTACTAACTGCTGTTTATTATAAGCAATCTCTTTCTTGACAGCTAAATTATGTCCAGTCTGCTAAAGGGATCTCAAGCTCAGCTTGATCTTCAATCCATTGGAGTGCTTTTAATGAACAAACCATTAAAAACTATTACTGCCTGATAGTCATATACATTGTTAGATACAGAAAGTCCTATTCTACTTTTCCTTTTGTAGCATTTGTGTTTTGACTGTTGTGGCTTTATACTTAAATATATATTAACATCTTAAGTATCTTTTTTTCCAATTTATATCCTGCCTTTTTCCTACAAAGGGCTCAAGGCAGCTTACATCATTCTCCTCCTCCATCTTATCCCCACAACAACAACCCTGTGAGGTAGGCTAGGCTGAGTGTTTATGACTGGCCCAAAGTCACCCAGTTGGCTCCATGGCCGAGCGGGACTAGAACCCAAATCGCCTGAGTCCCAGTCCCATGCTCTTAACCACTACACCACACTGGCTCTCTAAGTTTATTTAAGGCTTTTTGTGTTACTCTGATGGGTACTGTATGGAAAAAGAATAGGTAATATTTTCATTTTAACAGCCCTAATTCTCTCCACAAAATGGGTAATTTAGCTAATTCACTTCATTTTTGATATTCTGTAAAATTACCATATAATTACCCTCAATTAACTTATATATGTTATCTGAAAAAGTACCTGAAAGAATCTGACATATCTCATTTTACATTTTGACCCTGTTATAAGCTAAACCCTGTTCTCGCTCATCCTAAACATTTATTGATAAAATTTCTGATATCCCTGAAATGACTTTATAACTAGAGAATTTATGAAATGCTTCTAGTTCAAGCCTTTCAAAAAATATTAAAATATACCATTATATCTAATGAATGATTCTGAAATATATTAAGTATAAGTTTGATGCATTTGACTATTATATATCTGAGTATTAACAATAAAAAATTAAAAAGACAACAAAGCAGGAAAGAAGAGTGATTTATTATTAAAATTCCCATCAATATGTTGGTATTTTCTAGCCATTTCAACTGGCCCTGTCAAACATAAAATCCAATTTGTCTAATACAATTTAAATAAAGAGGGCAAGCTCTCAGATGGGATATAACAATTTCACTCAAGCACAAAATTACCTGTCTTGCAATAAGAATCCAGCCAGCTCATAATGTTCTACTGTATTATGAAACCCAAGAGTAGTTCTTCAGTGCATATTAAAATCAAGTCCTAAATGTCAAGCACCCATACTTCCCTGTCATTTTACAGAATGCAAAAAGAGTGTGTAGGGATTCCCTTTACCTTCCTCAGGTCAAGGAGGCCTTTCTGGGGCATTTTAACATTCATGTTACAGGCTTGGGTTACCTGTGCAAATTAAAATTTTCCAGGCTTCTTAGAATGTTTCTCTGCCATCAAAGCATAAATGTTGCCAAAGAGGGAATAATATCTCAACCAAAAGGTATCCATGATGCTTTGCTTGCTGCCACTGCCAGGTAAGTAGGAAGGGAAGGGCCAACTGCAACAGGCAAACCATTAAGGCATCCATCACACTTCCAGTTATGTAATTTGGAACATGATGGGTTTAAGTTTAAATACTGGGCTATTTCCCAGTGATTGTGTAGAAAGACTATATATTGAGTTTGTGATGTGTGTTTCCATCTTTAAAAGAGAGTGTCTAACATAGCAACTGAAGTCATACCCACAGAAATAGTTTCTTAGGCAAAAATAGAGAGGTTGTCTAGCTCAACCTCAACCAATGTATATGCCAAATCATAGTTCAATGATATTAAGATTTAATATAAGCTGGCCAAAGACTCTGCACTTGCCAGCCATATCATAGACATGAGTAGGAGGCATGAAAGCAAACAATACAGGCAGATCATACAGTAAGGATCATCAGAGAAATTATGCTATTTCGGTTTTAGGTTTTGGTAATGTATAAATTAAAAAATGTAAATGCTTACTCAGTGGAAAGCCATAGGTGACAAGAAATAAAAACCCAAAACATGTGGGACTTAAAAAGAAATAGAATTGTTCTAGTATCAGAAAAAAATTCTTTTAAAAGCTTGTGCAACAGAAAAGTGAGGGTCAACTGCCCTGTATGTTCTAAACTTTACAACCTTACTTTGGGTCAATGGCTTTTTTAAAATCAGAATGAAATTTTGAACACAGCTACAAAATTTTGAACTAAACCTACAAATCTATCCACTTCATTAAGTACATACCAAGTTGGAAGCAGAAGCTTCAGAAAAAGATAGGCCTTTTGGAATGATAAGAATGTGATCATGTTCTTTGCTTACTCTTACCTGGAAATAAAGAAAAAATATGCCTGTTATACCAGCAAAACTGTATGTTTAATCAAATGCGGCATATGCACAGTTCACTTGGATTCAGTATATGAGGAAGGAATGAAAATGTTGACTTCAACATGCTTACTGTGATATATGAACTGGCCAAGTGTGCCCATCCAAACAAATCTGTCAGCCTATACAAGCTGGCTAATTTACAACGAATAAGTTTTTCTCCCTTAACAAAAGTAGTGGTATCTATCCCAGGTAGATCATTGATGGGTGTAATCAGTCCAGAGCCTAAAAAAATAACAAAAATGAGTGACAATGATATTTCCAAAAGGAAGCAAACGAGTACATTTCATATTCAACCAGAAGCTGCTAACTTTATTGGAAATCACCACATCTTCTCAAGAACTTTGAGGGAGAATTACAGGCATCCAATGGATGGATGAGTACAGTACTTCCCTCTCATTCCAAGTGAGGGACTGCTGGAATTCCTTATGCCCCTGGCACCCTCACTGGATCTGAAGTCACACTTGCAACTTTAGAGCCAGAGCAGGAACAGAAAGAACTGTACTGGCTGCAAGGGTAAGGGGAGGATACTGTGAATTTGGGACTCCAACTCCACACTTTTCTGAGGCCAGAACTGAAGCTCAAAATTTTCCTATGCCCTTGTGGACAGCATCTAGCAGCCATGTGATTGCACCTTTAGTACTTTAAACTACTAAACACTGTGCCTAAGTAATGTTCATTTTCTGACTTTCAAAAAAGGGAGACAGAACCAAGCTGTTGATGTGACACCAGCTAAATTCGAATTCCACAACAAAATTTTTCCTTTTATTTTGCAAGTCTCCATTACAGAGAGAAGCCACTTTTAATGGTCATCTTAATGATCAAACAAATCAGTATAATAAAAAGGTTAATAACACTGAAGAAATATTTTATTTATTTATTTATTTTTCAATTTATATCCTGCCTTTTTCCTACAAAGGGCTCACGGCAGCTTACATCTCCTCCTCCATCTTATCCCCACAACAACCACCCTGTGAGGCAGGTTGGGCTGAGAGTCTGTGACTGGCCCAAAGTCACCCAGTTGGCTCCATGGCTGAGCGGGGACTAGAACCCAGATCATCTGAGTCCCCGTCCCATGCTCTTAACCACTACACCACACTGGCCCTCGTATGTATATGTATGTATGTATATTTCAAACTTTTATCTTCAATCCAATTGATGGGTTAAATGGGTATTTACACTGTACAGAATGATGTCTCTTTGGGGTATCACTTACATAGACTATCCGTAACAGTAAGGAAAAGAAATCTTAAAAAGCAAAAAGGAATCTCTAAGGACTTTACTAAAATCATGTGGGCATCATCTAACCAATACGTTAATTGAGGAACAGAGAACAAAGTGAATCAAATATATCTAAAAGAAGAAAATTGGTCCTTTTAAGCTGTTACCAAATTGCATGCACTTTTACTTACTTAGAGGAGATGAAGAAAATCCAGCAAAAGAACTTGCCATAACATAGTCAGCAATTTGCTGTAAGGCAAGCAATCCAGTTGGGTTATTTCCTTTCTTCATCTGCTCTTGTATAAGAGATTCCAGGTCCTCCCGAAATGCCTGTAAAATATCAAAGTGTCACTTAATATACTTGGAAAATAAGTAAGTTTCTACCATCTAAGACTGGTAGTTATTGATCAACAATACTTTAATTCTGAAATATTTTGGAACCTGAATCTCTCTACTGAACTTTAGTACAGTAAGTATGGTCTTGCTTTGTATGGAGTGATTGTACTTCAGGTGGCTGTTGCTTCTATTGTGGACAAGCCAGGAAAAGGAGAACAAAAGATTCACAGCAGCTTGTTGAAAAATAATTATATTTTATCCCAAGGCCATTCAGCTCCCCATGTAGTCATGAAGTTCAACAACAGAGGGGTCACCTTAGTTAAAAGGTGCGTTTCCTGTAGTCGTCTTTAGGTTTTTTGAAGGCTAGGTAAGGAAAATAATATGCCCCTCGTCCATTCTCCAAACTGTGGTCATCTTTATCCTGTCATAGTCATACATTTGAAGAATCTAATATGAACACAGGCAGACAGCAGTTCTCTGAAACATTTTATTATCTCCTTCTTCCTCTGTCCTGTCTCACTGTACAATGCAGCATCTTTATATCATGTATTATTCTGCAGTAGGATCATCATACATTTCCATTTTTTCTACAGATCATTACAGATAGTAAGTGTGAAATGCAAATCAAGTATTTTAATTATTAGGGCAAACATGGCAAAAGCTGATGAAATAATGGTGATATTTCACCTAAACCAATCTTATTATTTTGAACAGGGCACTACTCTAACATTCCCAGCCACTCTCTCTCTCTCTCTCACACACACACACACACACAGGAAATAACACTAAGCTACTTTGTAGGAAAGAATGGTGTAACCCACATTTTCTCTGCCACAGCTCCACTCACTACAATATAGGAGTGTGGAGCAATATAGGGAGATAATGATGAACATTATCTTCATACATTGTCAGGGTAATTTTTTAAAAAAAGTTTACAAACACAGAAACAGATTATTAACCAGATTTACATTAGAAAGGCAATAAATTCTCATTTTTCATATTTTCTCTCATTTGCTATAACATTTTATATTTTGTAAACATACTACAATCCAAAATCAGCTATCCAAAATATCTGGATTTTTGCACTATGTTCTAGGGACTTAAATGACTTCCTAACAGGAAGTCCCCAAAAGTTTTAAGACCAAGGTTAACGAGCTCATATATGACCTCCTGCACTGGTTAAAATCAGTAAAAGGTAGAGTACGCTACTTTCGCACAAAACAATTGGGAAGAATGTCTGTACATTTTGTCTCATAAGTTGGACTCCCGAAAATTCACCTTAAAAAATGAAAGAGCTGTGAATCTGGAGCTTATGGTTCATCACTGGGGTTGTCAATTGCTGCCCACCCCCCTTCCTATGGACACACATGCACCCAGAGACCTACCACCAGTAGATCCTAATCTGTCTGATCTGACATACAACTTTTTCAAATAAGTTTTGTTGAATGGTTATCCCAAATTCTACAGAGAAATAACTTTAAAATCATCAATATAGATCTTGATGTATTTGATGATTTAACGTGTGACTTGTTAACATTCTGTTAACAGTTACACATGCTGACCCTTTCTGAAGTGGACTTGGCATGACATTGTATAATATTGCTGAATTAGACACTGTTCTGTATTAATACATATTCTAAGAGAGTAATATGAGAGCAGAATGTTATTCTGTTCTTTATAACATACTGTACCTACCTGATATTTATAAAACAAATTGCGCTGAAACATAATATTCTATTTTGTTACTATGAGTGTGCAAATGTCTACACTATGTACATTTCACACAACATTTTGCCATCCAGGTATCGGCCTGATTCAGGAGCTATTGTGCCTAACACAGAGACACTCCTTTGCTGCATGCCATGACAGGATATTTACAGCATCTGTCAAAGGCAGTAGCAACACCTGTTGCCATACAGTGGGGCCAAAAGCAAAAAGAATACAGTTCCATGAACTCTGCAACTTGATCCTTCTGACCCTGCCTTTGTTCCCACTTCCTTACAGCAAAACACAGATCATCCAATAGTTTGTCTGTTACACATCCAGTGCTAAGCCATGCCCAGTTTCCTTTGCAGTGAAGAAAATGATAGCTCAGATGCACTGCAATTCTCATGTCAGAGCAAAAAAGATCTATGGCTTTGTCCATAAAAAACATGGATTAAGATCTGCACTTGAACCCTCACTGTGTGGATCACCAGTACTACTATTCTATGATATTTCAGTGGTATTTAAAAATAGACAAATATCTAGCCTTTTTGGTATCCCTTTCACATCTGGATGTTTTTACAAGCAGTATTAAAAATTTATATAGAAAAATAGTCAATAAAGTAGTTTTTCAAGGAGAAATGGGAAGAAAAATTTGAGAATTTGTTGAATCTCAGAATCTGTTCCAAAAAATGCAAGAAGAATGAGACATTATTAATTTACGTTTCAGACAAAAGACTGGTTATATGTGGATCATACAAGATACTACCCAAAGCCAAAAAAGCAACACTACAAGTCAGAAAAGCAAAACTTTCTAAGGAAACTAGTTTATGCATTTTTTCTATATGTGCGTATATAGTAATAATGTGATCTGCTACTTACAAGAGGGATCAGTGCTAAAACCAAGTAAAAGCATGTGTTCCAAAGAAAAAGTAGCTAACAAAATGACTTGTACATAATTTTGACTTGTACATAATTTTGAGAGATTTTGGCTAAGATTATTATTTATAAAACAAGAATGCTTCTAAAAGAGAATTAAAGATCTAAAGTTGTCACAAACATAAATGTTGTTCATATACCCAAGATAAAGGTATTTGCTACCTTCATTTGTTTGATGACATAGCCATTTGTTTTTTTGTGGGGAAGATGCATCAATTTAACTTTTATGCACATTAACTACATGGCTCTTCTTAACTAAGAATGCCTCCTGCAGTTGGACAACATTATAACAATAATCCTGACTATCAGAGTATTCAAACTATAGTATGTTTGACAGGGTCCTGAATTTGCAGAGAGTTGATGTTTTGAATGAAGAAATACTGAGTAAGATTTTGTGACTATCACAAGAGAATCTCAAATTGTGTCAGAGAGCCTAAGGAGTTGTGTGGCCAAATGTCCAAAATTGACACTAATGGATGCAGGGAAAAATGGACTTAAACAATTAAACAACAAAATAGCAAGTAAATAACCTCCTGACCAAGTTCCTAAAACTCATGAATTTCTTAAACTACAATTTTTCAATTTGGCTTTCACAGGAAGAAAAGCTCAGTCCCCTAAAAGCTCAGTCCCTGAATGGCACTGTTAGCAATAACCAGTCATGGCTGCAAAAAGTCAGATTTTTTTGCAACATGTAAAGAATGTTTTACATGTTGACAAATGAAACAAGCATACAATAGATGAAACTGCACGTTAGTGAATGCAATCCATCTGGTTTAGTACAAAATAAAACAACCACATTATTTCACCATGTCTCTGTAAGGTTTAGCAAATACAGTCTGTGCAGACTGGATAGACTACTGTAATATTAAGAAGAACTATGGGGAAGCCACAAATTAGGGGGTGGTAAGTGGAAAATGCTGAACAAATTAATGGTTTAAGGTCTTAATTATCTGCATTACAATATTTCTAGAAGTACCCAATTATTCTTAATCTGGAAAAAGAAAGGAAAGATTGGGAATATGGTAAGGAAAAACCTAGTTAATTCTTGGCAATACCAGTATAGTAGAAGAACTGTACTCAGACTTCTTCATGTCCATGTCCTCTCCATTATTGCTAAATGGAAAAGGCAAGCACTTGAAACAAGCTCTGGAAATGTAAAATAAGTTTTTAGCATTTTCTTTGAAACTAGAAAGTTATGGACGGCAAAACTTTTGCAGAAGAAACCAACAGTAGTAATGGGGAATTTCAACTATCCTACTATTTGCTGGAAGTCTAACTCTGCAAAGAATGGAGTATATAAGTTAAATTTTTGATGTGCCTCATTATTTCATCTCTCAGAATGGGAAAAATGTGCAAGAGGACCTGCTGTGCTCAACTTAATCCTGACCAACAAGGGAAAAGTGGCAAATGAAGTGGCATGAACCATAGGGAAAGTGATTCATGATTAGAGGGCTGTGAAAGCTAAGCCTTTGAAATCTGATTTCAAAACTATCAGGGGAAAGTTGGACACAATCCTATGGTTAAATATCCTTAGAGAAAAAGGGTTTCAGGAGGAATGGGAGATCCTGAACACTAAAATACGGAAGATAAGATTCCAAACTATTCCCATGAGGAGGAAAAAATCAGGGACATTTAACGAAACCTGTCTGACTATACAAAGAGCTCTCTGATAATCTGAGATTTAAGAGTCATGTATAAGAGATGGAAGCAGGAATATTCTAACAAGGGAGAGTATGACAGAGTTGCTAGAACCTGCGAAAAAATACAAAGGAAGGTGAACACCCATAACAAATTAAGGCTGGCAAGAGATGTTCAAAACAACATAAAGAGCTTTTCTGGCTATAGTAAAGATGAATAAGGAAATGGTAGAACTACCATTTTGGGAAGATGGTGAGTTGTTAGCATGTGACAGACACAGGATGGAACTATTCATCTCCTACTGTGTGTCATGAGTTCAGTGATCAAGAGTGACCTGAATTACATTGCTGAGTGTTGAAGAAGCCTGCAGACATTATTTCAGAGCCAGTCTCTGTGTAATATGTAAGAATTCTTTGAGAACAGGTGAAACACTGGAAGACTAGGAAATGCGCAAATACTGTCCCTATATTCAAGAAAAGGAAAAAAGATGGATCCAGAAAGTATAGATATCGGCCTGATGTCAATACAAGACAAAATTCTCGAACAAATTCAGTCAGCCCTCGAGCATCTAGAAAATTACATACTGATTACTAGGAACATTAGTCAGGAATATATCGTGCAGGACAAATGTTATCTCCTTTTCTGATAGTGTTACTAGCTTAGCAGATAATTGGAATTGGACATTGTATGTCCTTGATTTCAGCAAAGCATCTGACAAGGTTTCTCATGATGGTGAGTTAAATTGTGAGTTGATGGTATATAATTAGGTGTATTCACAGCAAGTCAAGCAACCACACTCAATGGGTAGATTCACACATAATGCTCAAAAATGCTTCATGGTAGCATGGTATCTTACATTATGTCATTTTTTCACACATTCATGTGCTTTCAGTGCATGCATGGTTTCCATGCTTCTTCATCTTCCCTCCAAATGGCAGTGCATGTCCCATCAGCCCTCATGGCTAGAGATCCATCCGCGGGTGCTCTGCTCTGGGCTGCACCGCTTGCCTCTCTCTTTGACCCACATATTCCCCTGGACATGACTGCAACTGGCTATTCCTGCTTTTCTTTTTAGTTTTCACTGCTCAGAGAAGCAGCTGCATATTCACCAGGGGAGCACTGTTGCTCCAGAGTAGCACTGCAGGAATGCACCCTGCTGCTGCCATATGCACAAGCTCACCCACACACATGATCAAACTCCTTTCCCCATGTACAGAGCTCACACACGCTGTTAGGGGTTGACACCTCGAGCCAGGCACACAGAGGGCATCAACCTGTTCATGTCAGGAACAGAAGGAGCATGCTCTGCCAGGCAGACTTCCAGAGGGTACCTGCCTGGGAAAGTTAGCTGGCAGGCTGCCAAGACAGTGGTTGCTGGGGGACAACAAGGTTTTTGAGGAGTCCTGAAGATTGCCAGGGACAAGGTAGGAATGAGGCAGAGGATGGGGGAAAGAGCAGAAGACACAGGCTCCATCGGATGCTTGCCCCATTGGCAAAGTCCCAAGTACTGCCCGTGTACCCCTTTTGAGCAGAGCAGCCTCCACATGAGACTGCTGGCTCTTATAATGGCATGAGCATGGTGCCACTTCAAAGCACTGTTCCAGCACAGGGCAATAACAAAGCAGGATTGCTAAATATAGCGGTCTCCACAGTTGCTGACGCTGCTGGAGGTGGTCGCCATGGCTGGGCATTGGAAAGTCATGGGTGAACAGAAAAGACAGGAATGTGAATCAATCAATCAGGACAGACAGGACAGGGAAAACTGAGTCTTGAATTGTGTGCTGCAGCCATAGCTGCTCTCACTGGGAGAAACATGGATGCATTGTAACTGGAGTCACAGATAACAGCAGGCGATGGTTAAGTGAGGTAACCTTACAACAGACTGTGCATTCTCCACAAGGTTTTATGGAAACCAAATGTGCCATGCTTCACCATGGATACTGAATTCACATGTAATGACAAGCAATGTCTATGCAGTTTCCCACATAGCCTGTCATTATGTGTGCACATAGCCACTGAGTGCAAATTATTGGCTCAGCAGTCTCCTAGAGGGAGGTCTCAACTGGAATGTCACAAGATTCTGCTCTAGGCCACACACTGTTCGGTATTTTAATAAATTGCTTGGGTAAGTATGTAGCGGGCTTGCTTATCAAATCTGCAGATGAAACAAAGCTAGGAAGGATAGCCAACAGGACAGAAGACATGATTGTCAAGAGCCAGTGCGTCGCCCTTCCTTCCCTTCAAGCAGATCAGGTCAAAAGACTTCTAACTAAAGATTTTATTATGTTGGAACTGGCCAGCTAGACTGGTCTGGTGAAACAAAAGAAGCATATTGTAATAGTCATTAAGAAAAGGTATCAGCAACTTAGAATACCAGCCATTTAGGAAATAAGGCTTAATGATAAGCAGTTAATGCCAAACTGAACACTTCTCCCAAATAACTGGCTCCAACATTCAGGATGGTTCATGTGCTTATGGGCCAATCAACAGAAATGTCTGATGCTATTCAGTTGGTCTCTTTGATCTGATGCCATATCATCAGATAATAATAATGTTAAGTCTCTCACCCTCTGACTCCAGTGTTTCCCACAGAACCACATGGGGTCTGGTTCTTAGCAGCCTCTTGGCTCAACTGATTTTGGCTAAGAATTCTGATTCTACCTCTTCTTGCAGTTCTGATTCAGACTCTGAAGCAACAACTTTGGGAGCCAACATTTTCAGAGAAGCAGGCCTGTTCCCCACAAGGATCAAGATTTGAAAGGATCTAGATAAAATACTCGACCAAACTTAATAAGGTGAGATGCAACAGACATAAATGTAAAATCTTGCATTTAGGTATTTGAAACAACAACAACTTTCAAACAAAAACTAAAGACCGTGCACAGAATGGGAGAGACCTGGTTGGCAACACAACACATGGAAAGGACCTGGGTGTCTTAGTGAGTCACAAGCTGAATATGAGCTAGTAGTGCAGGGCAGCAGTAAAGAAAGCTAACTGAATTTTGGGCTGCATTAGCAGTAGCAGACTACACAGATCATAGGAAGAAATAGTTTCACTCATCCCACATTTGGAGCACTGTGTGTTCTGGATGTCCCGATTTTAAGAAGGGCAATGACAAACTGGAGCGTGTCTAGTGAACAATATCCAGGATGGTGATAGGTCAGGTGAACAAGTCTCATGAGAATGGTTCAAAGAGCAAGATATATTTAGCTTAGAGAAGAGATTAAGGGAAGTAAAGAGAACTGTCTTCAGATATCTAAAAGCTGCCATGAAGTTCTCTGTGGCTCAAAGGAAATACTACAACGAAGGAGCAGAAATAGCAAGGCAACAGATTTTGGTTACACATTTAGACAGTGAGATCTGTGGAACAGATTGCCTCAGGAGGTAGTGAGTTTTCCTTTACTGGAGGCATTTAAGCAGAAGCTGGATGGCCACACTGTAACTGTAAACTTGTAAGGTATGGCGGATCAACCTGTAAGCTGTTATCTTGTCCAATTTTATCACAGTCAACAAGAATATCACAGAAAATCAAATGCTTTACTGCAATCAAGATATCCAATGTCCACCAGTATTGCCATGATCTACCAATCTAGTTAACTGTATCAAAAAAGGATAAAATATTAATTTGGCATAACGATATGATCTCCAAGGTTTCTTCCAGCCCTACGATTCTATGAATAGTGGGTTTCCTTAACATGAACACTATAGAGACCAATTATTTATTTATTAATTTGTTTAAAAGTTATCTGTGAGCATCATGCTCTGTATTACTATTTTAGGCATAAATGAGAAATACATCTTTCAAATACAATTAACAATATTATGCATTTGGTAAACATATGACAGTAAAGAATTTGTATTTCCTTGTACAGCTAACTTTAGACTTTCTCATGCCTGAAATAAAAGATCACACACCTAGTTTAGGACTGAAATTTGATTTACCATCCTATGCCAGTTTTACTCAGGAAAAAAGTTCCATTGTCCATTTAGGCTGTGATCCTCTGCACACATGGCAGGATTGCAATCTAAACACACTATTACATGTTATTCGATAGTAGGCTGGTCCTCTTTCCTTGACATAGAACCTTATGACCTTACTAATATGCACAACCTTACTAAAACTAGATTATGTCCAATAAATGCATGATTTTAAAAAAGCAAACCAGATTTCTTATGGAATTTAACATATCACACTCCAATTGGAAACTTGGAAGAATTAAACAGATTTAACTACAATTATGAAATCCATGGAATTTATAATAGCATGTACATTAATCCAGTCTTCCAAAATGTTATCTCAGTGAGAATGTAAAATATGTTTTACCTTGTCCAACCAAACAAATCACATGAAGGCATTAGAGAAAGCTTTTAAGTACAGAATTCAAAATAAGAGTGGAATGACCATCTGCATGTAAATATCCCAACAGTTTCTATCTGGCCGGTGACTTCCCCTCTCTTCCCTGTGACTAAGCAGCAATGTAATGTCATGTAGCTGGGAAGCTACTTTTGTACAGTGTTAATGAAGCATGGCATTAAGGGGGAAAAAAGCAAACCTCAGGATAAAGGGCTATTTGTTCGCACATGAAAACTGTGCAAACAAATACTGTACAAAACTATCCACCAATGATTCTCATGAAAAGTTATGGTCCTGAGGGATTTTTTTCTTGCTGGAATGTAGTCTGAACATTTTCCTCTTTGTTCAGTTTGCTTGAGAGTATTTGCATGTGTGTTCACTGGCATAGGATGACAAACAAATAGCTAGGTTAACATACAAAAATGCAAGGCTCTGAAGATGAGGAAAATACTGTTTTGTTCCCCCCACCCACCCCCACATCTTACTTACAGGACTCTGCAGAATCTGAGTGACTCTCTTCCTTTGTTCCATCATGTTGAAATCTTGTCTGAGGTCAGGAGACATGTTTCTTTCACGAATATAGTCAGGGTCATTTTCATTGATGCGGTCAAAATATCGTTCTTTATGAGGCACGCTGGGTGGTGGAGGGCTTGTGATTACCCCCTGGCTCATCTCAGCACTCATGTTTCAATCTGGATTATTCTGTTTACCTGCAACATTAAGAAGCCAGAAGATTTTTAATTGTATTTAAAAACAAATAACCAAACTGACATTACAAGCATGTCCAAATAAATCTTTCTTCTCACTAAGGAGAAACAGAGAGAGAAATGTAGTGATACTCCGACAGAAATTCAGAGTGGAGGGGAAGATGTTGTCTAAAGTCCTTCAAAAAAGAATGTCATTTGTTTTTTAGTTATACATTTCATTACGCATGATTTTTAAAAAATAACAGTTAAGTCTACATATAAACGAGCTAATTATTAGCAACAAAGTCATAAAATATTTTAAAACAATCCATTCACTGTTACCTAGCAGTATGCTCACTGAAACATTTTAAGTTTGCTATATAGCGACTAGCAAGGGTTTAAAATGTTCTGTCTGTCTGAAACATCTATGGCAAACCAGCTACTACGGAGTCAGTATTCTAGTTTACAAGCAAGAAGGGTAACCTGAACTGATTTTGTGAATTTGCCTTTCATATCTCTTCAGTTTTATATCCCATTTATCAAACTGTCTAAAATCTGAATGTGAGTCACAATTATCCTTCTTGCCTGTGGTGATAACCTCTCCTAAGGCCCAAATCTCACTTACCTCCAAGTATTTTAAGTACTGCAGAGAACTATGAAGGATATTGGAGGAACAAGACACTAACCAAAAGATTTGTGCTTTTTCAAAGCTTAGCACACTGATATAAAGGATCTCTGCTCCCACATTTCCAAGTCCTCTGCATGTTACCCAGTCCTCTGTCAACCCCTAAAATATCATAAAGTTAGAGACCATCTCTGTTCTACCTCAGAAATCTCTATTCTTCCCAAGACTAAGAAATGGGGTAAGGGAATCAGCAGAGGCCACAAATATAGGTTATTAAACCAAGCTGGTATTCTTGGACCACTGATATTTCATTTGCAACTGCAACTTTATAATATACGCATGTGTATCAGCATCTTCACTTCCTAGTAAGACTGCAAGTTGAGTGGAAAGTTGCTGTAAATTGTTGCCAGCAGATCTCGACAGACCACCAGATGGTGTCTAAGCCCTGAGGAAATCTTAATGAAGAACAGCTCATATATTGGGAAGGTCATATGATTAGTTTCATTGAACTGTATCTAGAGTTCTGAGAATATCTAGGTTCAATTTCTTCGAGCTCTATATAGTGCAAACAAACAAACCTTTCTCTAAAGAAACTGAAAATATGTTGCTCAAATTTTAAATATCCTGCTTCAGAAAACTAGAAGATCTGAACAGTTTTTGTAAAAAATAGTTCTGAACAGGAATAAATGTTTGAATTCACACATAAGACTCATTTAAATGTTATTACTTCAGTCTGTGGTTAAATACTACAGTTGCGATTTAACCACTAGAAATTAAACCATTTCTTATTCTAATTTTCTGATGCATGCTTTTGTACACACATTGCAAAATCAGTGATTTTTACCAGGCTTCTCTAAAATGCACAGGGTATTTTTCCAGTCATGAAACTCCATGTGAACTGTAACAAATATGTAAACTTTACAGATTTTTCTGGATATTAAAACCATCACTTTTACATGTCAAACCCAACAACAAAAAGAAATAATTCAGGTTGCATGTAAAGGCTTTTTAATATTATTTAAGAGCACTGAATATAGAAATGTGATTATGACCCAGAATACCAAACAGGGTTATGAATGGCAGCTATGCAGGCAAGAAGCATCAGTGCTACTTCCCCTGTCATTGCACTCTGGCAGCGCTCTTGCTGCTGGTGGTACAGGTAGAATTGTCAAGTTTTTTTTGTTTTTGTTTTTTTGGCCATTTCAGCCTTTTGGCTGGCTTGCCACTTCCCTTTGCCCATGATGGGATCAATCACCTGGGTTCAGACAATTCAACAACCCACTGTGGTTAACAAAACCCTTGGGCAATACATGGGTTTGGAGAGTGTCATATCTGGGGGGGTGGGAGGAACCAGGCCACACTGTGTGGAACAGTCTGAGTTTGGATGCCACAATAACCCACCATGGCTTCTTACTGATGAATTGTCATAGTATCTGAACTAGATCAATACTAAATGAATAACTATATAGAGGTATTTTTTTAATGGTGGTCTTTCATCAGTGTAATACTCTTTCCCAGGTATAGCAGGCAGGCCTACAAAAACTAATGACTAAATCCAAGGACTACCTAATTTGCTAAGTTGTAAAATGACAAGAATGGACATTCTATTGCCATTTCATATCCCACTTAATTTACTTGATGCTGCTACTATTTGACTCCCATAGTAACATCTTTCTTTAGAGCAATAATTCTTAAGCTGTGTGTGTGGGGAATCTTGAAAACCAAATTCTGAGGAAATAAATGTCTTACTCAAATAGTGCATAACATCTTGTGAGAAATAACTGATTCAAGCAATTCCTTTACAATCAATTTATATGTTGACAAAGGTCATTCATGGCCATAAAAGATGGACTCAAGCAAGCATCTAAGTTGCCATACAGATCACCCAAAAAACAGCAAATTTCACATTTAATGCATTCTCTGTTCTCTCCCTATCTCTTTGATTTTATTTGGATGTGTCAATATTATAGGAGATTGTTAGTAACATTGGTATTCTTCTTACAAACATGTACAATTCCATTCATGATATACTACATACTAATCTTATACAGTCACATTCCATTAAAGGAATACACAGCCTTAGGAACACAGGTCCAAATGTTGCCACAAAGAGATCAGGCTCTTAATGCTGGCACCAGGACACCACTCCAGAACAATGGTAATAACGGGGTTGCTATTGCAACAAAGATTTCCCCAGGAACCTGAATAGCTTAACTGCATTTGGCAAGGAGATTATTGCAGCCATGCTTTACTTGCCAGAACTGACAGTGAACAAGAGACTGTAAGGCTTCTCTGGCATTTAGCCACATACCTATGGTACAGCAACAAAAATCCCAATATACACAGCAGCAGCTTAAGTTGACCAGGTCACTTGAGTGTTCTAACCTATCCACTATCTACATCAAGTTTTAATGTTTTAAAAGTGGGTTAAGCACTTCTCCAAGAATGTTTTTTGTAAAAGCAGCAGAGAGTACTAACTGAAATTGAAAAAGGATGTTTACTTCATGACCCTCCTCATCAGATCTCTCAATTGGTTCTGCAATTGAAACAAGACACAACCTACAGTGACATTACTGGGCTATGCTGGTCCTGTCCCTGTGAAGTAATTCATCTTTTGCCAGATGAAAGATGTCAGCCTACTCCTAGGAGATGACTATTTACTGCAGGACCTGGGCTGAATAGCTGGTTATTTCCTCATAGCAGGAACCTGTTTCTTCTGTACTTTGGAGTATGTCATGCATATTAATGACACAGCAACAGTAATACTTTGCTAGGTTTCTTTGATCTTCATCTTCATATATTTTGATCATCTGAACCATTAGCTATGTTTCTCCACAAACACACACAGAAAGAAGTAAAAGTACAGAAGCATTTATGATGCTATCCTTAAAAATTTCATTCTTTTTGTTCACTAATTGCAGGAAACTTGCTTCCTCCTCCCCCTTCTCCCCAGAAGGAACAGTAGGCCAGTGCAAAGTACACTCTACTATCTGCCATCAGTCAGTCATTGAGAGGCTGTAACCCCTGTATCCCAGGAACAACAAGGGGGTGACTAAGCTGGCCTATGCACTGTCCAGAGCTGCAAGGAGCTTTTTCCATCTCCCTGCCAGAAAGAACACTTCACTCCAACTGCTTGTACTGAAAAAGAAAGAACACTCTAACACATTGATCAAAGAGCTACTTATTGCTATTCAAACAAAAACAACAGCAAGAGAAGATTGCCCTGACCTGAAGTGCATCAAATACTCACTTACAGCTGACCACCTTGTTTGGGCCTTGAAAACGGAGCCCCCTCCCTTTCCTTCTCCCCATCTTTTTAGTCTGTAAAAAGTCTTTTTAGCCTGATGGTAGGCTCTGTCTTTTTTTCTTATTCTTATGAGCTAGTTTGGAGCATAAAAATTATATGAAAAGTTAGATACAAACACATATATATAATGCTGCTCATAAATTGATATTTTGGGGTTGAGGGGAGAAGTATTCAAGTATAAGAGGGCCAGGTAGTGATGATCCTAAAAAGCAAGAGGGTAGGAAAAGAGGGGATACTGAAATATTCTTTCTAAAAAATGCTAATTGGTATATACTCATCTCTCATGCCATCTTCCATAAGGAGAGAATGAATGAATGAATGGATATCCTAGTTTAACCGTATTTTAAAAATCCACCGTGTTAATATGAGAATTTCTCTTCCAAAACTGCATTGAATACACAGCCGCTATTACCTTTGGAAACTCAATGCCATGTTCCCAATAATGAACATTAAGTTATTCAGTTATTCCAATATAATAGCAGAAGTACTCAATTACCTTTTGAATTTGATGCCCCCACAAAATTAATAAGGATGATTAATTACTTGTCTGAAATTCCGTATTACAGAATGGGGCAGATTTTCCTACAAGGTAACACTACCATTTTAGATTCCTTTCTTCCTGCTTCCTACTACAGGCTGGATATTTCTTGCAAACACCAAACAACTAAGTATATAAGCAAAACAGTGGAGAAGAGAAATACCATTTCAGGGGAAGGTCAGTATTTGCTCAGAAATTTATTAGACCACTTGTGATTACATTTAAAGAAATGTATTCACAACCCCCACTTTTTGCTTTCCAAAGGTCAAACAGTCAATTGCTGCCTGAGGGGGACAAGCAGAATACTTGAATGGGTTCTGCCTGAGTTCTCTTCTAGCTTAGCTAGCTGATAGAACAGCTTTGTTTCACTTTTATAATCTTGCAAAAAGAAAAGGGACTTAAAAAAATCTGAACATATTTTCCTCTCCTAGGTAATGGGAACATTTATACATCTAAGTCTTAGATAACTATTTGCATTTTAAGTTAAGATGAGGAAAGGGAAGGCCTATAGTATGACCATGTAGGCTAGTTCAATTATTTTGTTAAATACAAAACTAACCAAGAATTTGAAGAATCATGACAATATTGTGTGCTACTAATAGATTTCCTCTAATAGTGTATTTGGTTGACCAAGCCACACAGTTTGTAAATGAAATTGGGAATTCCCGAGATAATCCCCCCAAATGGCCTGACAAGAATGCATGTGCTGTATAAATATTGAGGTTCCAAAGTGGTTTGTGCAGTTGCCCATGTGTTTGTTTAGACCTTCCACTTTCCTCCCCACAGGCCTGAGCAGAACTAAAAGGGTCTTGTTCCAAGGTAGCTGAAATCTTGAATAGACGCAGTCTCCTCCTTAGGGACTGAGGAAATAACAACATAATTATGCCGACAAAATTCCTAGCAAATGCATTGCTATGTCAAGCAGGGATACACAATGTATGCCCATGGATATATGTGTGACCTCAGGTGTTTTTCTTGGCACCCACCAAATTGTCACAAAGATAGAATGTCTGTGAGTGGTAATGATGACAATCTCTGTGTGGTGTATGGCATGATGACCTGGAATAAAAGTGAAAAAGAGATAGGGAGGAATGACTGGATTGGCAGAGGACTGGACCTGGATATGGGGAAATTTTCCCAAATGTTGGGAAGTGCCAACAGAAAAGAAAGTTATTTAAATCTACATCAGTGCACCTGAGACATAGTTGCACTATATCTGTAGAGATAACCACATTCAATTCAGAGAGATAGTCAGCAATGGAGAGATATTCCTAACAATTACAAAGATAAAGAACATATTTGGCTTCAATATTTCTTGTGACTTGAATATTTGCCATAGTGATATGCCTAATGTTGAATGAACTGGAATTTATTTTATCTTTATTATACTGTGAAAAAGTAGCACTTATATCTCACTGGAAAAGAAACAAGCCATCTAAGTTATTTGACAGGTACTCTAGCATTTGGTGCTCTTGCACTGAACTCATGTTTAAAATGCATGAACTGTGTTAGGAAAGATGGCAAATGGATGATAAATTCTCTGGGGGAAAAACCAAGCTTCACTTGTCAGGTTGTTGCATGCTGTAATACTAATGCTAATCTGTACCCCTTGGTATTTTGATTGTTGTTTCTATTTTATTTGTAACTGTGTCATAGATTTGATAGCAAAATATTTCCTCTTAAATAATACTTAATATTTTGAACTCAGATTTTTTTTAAGTTAATGCAAATTTTTGCCCTTAAGAGCTTAGCTGATACAAACAGCAATTTATAAATAGGAAACTCTCCTTTTGACAATGCATTTTTTAAACTTCGCTTTCAGTTATTTCTGTCTCTTTCACTGAAATTCAACAGGTTCTGTTGGAATGAACTTGGTACTAAAATACCCCACACTATTTCATTAAATACTTTAGTGTAATCTGGGATTGGACAAATTGCACAATATTAGAGAAAGGAGTTACCATCTAGAGGTATCTGTTAACACATCACTTTGCATATTTTCCTTGCAGGCAGTTAATAGGGTTTGAATATTATTTGAAAAAGCATAACTGGATGCCAAGAATTAGCAGGTAGACAGGTTCCACTAATTTTATATTTCTATTCAGGAATCTTTACAAACTATAAACTAAACAAAACTTGAATTGTCTTAGAAATTGGGATTATAGAAGCAAGAATTTTGTAAAAATTGATTTACTTGCCTCACAGAGCATTGCCAATCTTTTCAATAAAGACATATTTAAAATTCACTAAAAAGATGACAGTCTTAATAATCAGTCTTGAACTTGTGGCTGTGGCCCTTCCTAAATTCTAAACTTATAACCCACAAACAGTTCTAACTTGATAGCTCAAGAAGCACAAAGGCTGTGGCAGGAGGGGTCAGAAAATTGTTGTACAATGTATTTAGCAAAGTCAGAACTTTTGCAATGTATTTTTACAGCCACAAATAAACTGAAAATTAACAGCAACTGATCATTTATTTCTCCATACCTCTTTCCCTCAACATTTTTTTTCATTTCCATTTTTTCCACCGTAAAAGGTTTTCTTTTAAGCTTTGAAGACTACTGTGCAAACAAAATTGGGGAACAAATAAGGGCTGCAGCCATTTTCAGGAATTCTGATCCAGCATCACACTATGCACTATTCCCAACTATTTCATGAACTTACTCACAGAGACAGGTTAAGCAAAGGGGGAATGTGTCAACAGAGCTTTTCTGTCCTCTGAAAAAGCCCATTTTTCACATCTCCAGCTGGCACCCAAATAATAGAAATTCTTGATTTCCTACAAAATTGAACTTAAGTCTTACTATTTATAGTCAGCTTCAACTGACTAATCCCAGAAAATTTCAGTTGTCTCCCTACCTCTGCAAGGGGTTGTTAACTGCTTTGCAAACACAACAGAACTACTTCAAAATCTCGAAAGCACTTCTTGCTTGAAAAATATAAAGTGGCTCTGCAATTTGCCTTCAGTACTCTCTATACATTGAGCAGTGGCTGAAGGAGATAAAGAAGTTCTTCAAGACTTTATATATGTAATGCTGTTTTCCTCAGTACGCTTAGGAAGTGCAATTACAGTCAGAATTATATAGGAAGCCTGATCAAGATTTGCCTTCAAATGTATTTATAATAAACAATTTATTCTTCTTAAGTTATTCATGTAAGCACCTAAGAGCACACATTGGCATCATAACAGTGCCTAAACAGAGGGCTTTTTGTTGTGATAAGAGACAAACATACTGTGATCCTGTTGATTCTCCAAGGAAGTTTTAACACCATAAACTATGAGTATTTCTTGAAGCCGCCATGCAAACGGGAAGCTCAGGGCATAGAGATATAGTGGTTCTGCTTCTGTTTGGCAAATTGTGGGGATGAGGGTGGAAAAGAGGCAGTTATGTTTCATCTGCATTGCATCTTCCTAGTGTTGTCCAGCAGAGCTTTTCTAAATGGTACTTGGCCTATTATATTCTGGGCCAAAGAAAAAATCAAGGAGGCCCTTGGTAGTGCACTGTGATGAATGGCCATCACTTTGAAAAGAAAGTCACTCAGATTTGTCATGAACTGGACACCACAAGTAATGTAGTTCCACTAGCAAAAGTAACCACACCACCATCTGGTCCAGTTTTATTGGATGAATTTCAATCACTGAGGCCCAAGGATATGAACAAGGTGCTTGATCAAGTCCAGCCAACCCCACTTGTGTGCTCAGTCCTCATTCTAACAATTAAGGAAAGGATTCCTACTTGGGTCCAGAAGGCTGTAAGTATCTCCTTGAAAGAGGGAGTGGTTCCAGTCTCTCTAAAAGAGGCTGTAATTAAGCCACTGCTGAAAAAGTATAACCTGGACCCAGAAGATGTTAATAATTATAGCCTGAACAAGGTGTTTGAATGGATGGTGGCTAAAAAGTTTCAGGAACTCTTGAATGAAATGGATTATCTAGATCATGGGTCCTCAAACTACAGCCAGGGGGCCGCATCCGGCCCGCCATAGCCATTTTTCTGGTCCGCCTCAGAGCTTTTTAACGCGCTGCGTGCGCACCCACCGCTGCACGCCTCGCCCCCCCATGCAAGGAGGCGGAGGCTTGGTCGCTCGGAGATCGTTTTGGACTCGCTCGGAGAAAACTATCTCCAAGTGAGCAACCACTGCATTGCGGTACGTGCCTGTCCCCGCCTTGCCTCCCTTCGCCACGCCCACCTGCACCTTGCCATGCCTGTGTCCCCCCCCACCTCAGCGCCCATGCACCCCGCAGGCACCACCTTTCTGGCCCACACCCAGCACCAGCACCTTTCAACTGACCCCCTGGTGAAAAAGTTTGAGATCCATTGCAATCTAGATCCATTGCAATCAGGCTGTAGGCCTGGTTTTGGAATGGAAACTACATTGGTTACTCTGCTGGATGACCTCTGCTCTGAGAAAGATAGGGGGAGGGCAACCTCCTGGACCTCACAGCGACTTTTGATACCATTGATCATGCTATCCTTCTGGCTGGGCTGGCACTGGATTGCAGTGGTTCTGCTCTTACTTGACTGGCTAGTTCCAGAAGATGGTGTGTGTGTGGCAGGGGAGGAGGTTATTGCTCTGTGTCATGGCAGTTATGTCACGGGTTACCACAGGGTTCTATTTTATGCTCATGCTATTCAATATCTACACGAAATTGCGGGGGAGGTTATCTGGAGGTATGGGCTGAGGTACCACCAATATGCAAATCACACTCATTTCTACCTCTTTTTTTCATCAAACCTGTTTGAGGCAGTAGCTGCTCTGAATCAGTGTCTGAGAATAGTAATGTACCAGATGAGGGCCAACAAACTGAGACTCAGTCCAGACAAGATGGAGGTGCTGCTAGTGGGTGGTTCATCTGTCCAACTGAGTGATATTCAACCTGTTCTGAATGTGGTTGCACTCCCACTAAAGAACAAGGTTCATAGTTTGGGAGTGCTCCTGGACCCAGAATTGTCACTCAAGGAACAAGTGGACTCAGTGGCACAGAACACCTTTTATCAGCTTAAGCTGATATACCAGCTATGACCCTACCTGGACAGAAGAGATTAGCTTAAGTTATCCATGCACTAATATAAACTATTGTTTGGATTATTGTCTGGATGTGCTGTATGTGGGGCTGCTTTTGAAAATGGTCTGGAATCTTCAACTGATCCAAAACTGGACTATTACTGGGGAGTGGTTCACAAGACATATTATGCCAATCCTCTTCTAGCTGCACTGCCTGCTGGTTGAAGACCAGCCCTGATTCAAGTGCTAGTACTAATATTCAAAGTTCTAAATAGCTTGGGGCCAGATTATCAGAAGGATTGCCTTCTCCCATATGTACTCATCCAGACCCTGAGGTCATGTTTAAAGGTCCTTCACCAAGAGGCCCTTCCAAAGGAAGTGAGGTGGGTGGCTACCAGAAGGAGGGCCTTTTGGGTTGTGGCACCCTGCTTTTGGAATAAAAACTCCCTAAAGAGGTGTACCAAGTGTATATTCTTTTAAAAGCCAGATAAAGACCTTTTTTTATTTTTACAGCATTTTAAGAGTATAACTTTTCTACTGCTATGCTTTTTCTAACGTTTTGTTGTTTGTGTGCCTTTTTAACTTTTAATTTTTGATTGCCTCCCAGAGAGCCTCTGCTACTGGGCAGTATAAAAATGAAATGAATAAAGAAACCCATGGCACTTACCGCATGAGGTCCCAAAAGATTCCATCTTGCCCCTCCATCACATCCTTGCTCCAAGAAAGAAATAGCCCTACCATGGCATCAATAGAAAATTTAAAATTCCATGCTTTTAGGTTTCAACAAAAGGATGTGTGTCTTTCTGTCAGTACTATAGCCCCAAGACTATGCAAGCAGACATCTGAAACTTGGCATACATATAGCAGACTCCTGGGGTACATTCTTCAGATAATTTTGTTTTTTAAACACATTAATTTGATTAAATGTCAAAGTGCTTGAAGTCTACATATGGTCTGAAGTGACCATCTACAGTTACTAGGTAACAGGACTTCACTAACAGGTTCATAATTTTGCAGTCAACTCAGTTTGAAGCCGGGCACTGTAGTCTAAGGGCACAATTATATGGTCTTCTGACATTGTCCAGAGGACTATAGGATTATTTCGCATGTCAGAGGGAGGATGCTGTTGCACTGCTTGTTGGACATCAGTGCAGCTGACTGGTCACTGTGTGAACTGAATACTAAACTAGTTATATCCTTGGTCTGATCCAGGCATGGTTTTTTATGTTCTTAAATCTCATGGATTTCAATAGTTTACTGCCCAGTATGAGTAAAGTCTGGATTCAACTCTACATACATAATATAGGCAGTGTTTCAACTGAAATACTGCAATTGGCAAAAGGAACTAGATACTATTAAAAAGATTAGACGTCCGCATTTGAAGGTATGTTGCAGTTCCTTGCTATTATTTTTGATAACTGGCAAATTTTGCTTGACTGGTAGAAGTATCCTAGACTGACTACTCCCGTGGGGTGGGGGGTGGGGATGACATATCTTTAACAAGTAAAAAATTATCTGAGTCATAGTATCAGCTACAAGTGAAAGAAATACATTACCAATCTAGTATTGTATTGTACAAATGATTTTAGATTTGCACAAAGCTGTTCACAACTTTCATATGAAAATTATGTGCAGCACACAGCAAAAATCAAAACCCTTTGTATTCTCAAAATGGTCTTTCCTACTCCTTTGCTTCCCAAATGAATTAGACTAGGGTGTCTTCCAACCCCCAATACTGTGCCAGCTCTTCTGGCTGGTTTTGTTGCTATTATAGGCTGAATATAAAGCATATGAAGAAAAGTGAAGTAAACTTTGTTTGCATGGGACTGAAGTAAACGTCTGTCTTCTTTTGATCTTAAACAATAAGACATAGTTTTATTCCCTCCAAACCACCTCCCCCTCGCTGCCTGGTGCTAATATCTGAAGCCAGTAAGCCATGAGGAAGGGAATACAGATCAGCAAATTGTACACACATGGCAATTAATTCTGTGTTGTGAGAGCAATATAAGAGCTGTGATGATTCCAATATTCAGCTTTAGAAAAGATTACAAACCACTGGTTTGAAGGGGGAAAAATTAAGATATGACAGATTTTTTTCTTTGCTTCGCTAGAAAGATTTTGCTGCAGTGCTGGCAACATACTCATTGCTGCACTGAAACTGCCAGTTTCAGTTTTTAGTTCTCATGACCTAGCTTGTTTTTCCTGTACTTAATTCAGCTTGGATAAAAGTAAACATTAGTACAAAGGAAAGAAAAATGCAAGTGGGAGGAGTGAAGGGGCTCCAAGTGGGAAGAACCCAACTGTGATACTGAACTCAGCCAACTCTTCAGAACTCTTTGCATTCCAATTCCCAATTTGGAATTTAAAATCAAAATATTATTATTATAGATTGACAGATTTTTAATAACGTAATTGTCACCTCTAGCAGTACTCTGAAATTCCTCACTATTACAAAACTACAGAAATGCTCAGAGATATTCTTTGTCTACTTTTGCTGGCAACTGAGTGTAACTTATTCTTATATTTATTTGTGGATAAACTTTACTCAGGAAACAATTTTCTTCACTTTTTATGATCTGTAAACTGTTTCTATGATTTCACTGATATAAATATTACAAGTATAAGAAACAATTGTACCATACATTTGGTCCTAATTAGACATAATGTTTTTTGAGACCAAGAGTTTGGAAGTTTGTAAACATTTCATCTTTTTCAGTACCTCCTAGACTCCTATCCTCATTTGCACAATCAAGATCAGTTTGGTTCCTTCAAAAATCTCCTTGTGCAGAAGGAAAAGTTTCCAGTCACTGCTCAGATGTAAAATTAACATGTAGCAATAACTGTTAGGAAGATGGAGTTCAATAGGAATTGCATATTTCTGTTCATATGTTAACTCTCCCTACTGGCGATATCTTTCTGAAGTCTAGTATCAGAGAACACTCTGCTTTCTCTCATTACTTTTGACAGTGTGGATTAATATCATATCAAAGTCATTTTTAAAAAAAATTATGGTGGCTTTTCCCATCCTTAGAAAGGTCAGAGCAGAAACAGCTGTCTCCTTGCTCCAAGTGTAGATTCAGCAGACAGGAAGGAGAACTACTCTAGTGACAGACGCACAGCAACTGGTAGATTTTACAAATGTTTACATGAACAACTGATCTCAGACAACACTTTTGTAGTATGTGCCCAATTCTTTTTATAGTGTAGGCCTTTGGAGTTCCTCTACTTTATCCATATACTATAAGGTTAAGGTTTAACTCTCATTAATGTTCTTACCAAAACAAAAAGGTTATCAAATCATTGAAATGCTGCCACCAAGTGGATACTTGGAAACCCGTTACTACTATATGCCATCTTGAATGCTAATAATGTGTTCTAACAAGAAAATCGGAACTGATAGCCAGTGGTGGGGCAGAACTGCACAAAGTTTCTGACAGGACTTCATGCACAATACACTGAAAAATTTCAAATTCAGGACAAAGAATATGTCTAATATTACTGTCTATGTTCAATGAACCATATGGAAAGGGTGCTCACTATAATAAGGGCACTGGGAGGAATGTATCCTTGGTCTGCACAAGTCCAGCTTTTCCATTCACGGTGCGTAGACATCCCTGCTCCATGCTGGAACCAGCACTCCAAGATGGGATAATCTCCGCATAATGATTTAAAATAAGCTATGCATGCGGCTGTTTTTCTCCAAACTTTTATAAAGACCCATTAATCCACTGTTAATATTGGATATTAATTCATCCTGAACTAGACGTCATGCAAACAGTTTATTCATAGTTGTACACGTCTTCAGGAAACATATGGCCCACCTTTGAAGAATTAACTTTGTTTACTACACTGAATTTGCAATGACTAGTATGGGTCACTCCGAGACCATGGCTCATAGATACGATGGCACACCATCTATCATCTTACCCCCTTACCCCATGCAACATGTTACATGACTGCAAATGGGGAGCATCACTTCACTTGCATTATCTCAAAGTGTAAGTGCAGTCATGATATGCTTAGAGGTCAGGGAGTAATGCAACCCCTGAGAACTGGATTATTACTGGCTTGAAGTGGATCCTACTATACTTAGGTAAACATCTTTAGTTACAGAATAACATCATACAAAGGATGAACTACAAAGAAGGAAGATTAAGCGTTCTGCACTCTCACATTAACATTTTCTTTTTTATTTATATAACTATTAGCATTATGCATATAAAAATTAACATTAGTTTTGTTTTCATTATGCAACCAGGTATGGCTGCACTTAACTAAAAACAAGAAAAAACATTCTACAGAATTTTTTGATAGGAAAACAAATTTGTCAAAAATTTATTTTCTGATCTTTCTTAAAAATTTACAATTATAAATGATATCCATACACTAGTACAAAATAATTTGTAAATAAATTTTGTACTAGTTTTGGATGATATTATACACCAACACAGAATCAAAGATTACAAGAACTGAAGACTAGGTAATAGTTTTAAAGTGATAAAAGCTTCTATTTATAGGCTAGCTAGATATTACTAACAGTAACATAAGTTTCTGCATGTTTGGTCATGATGGAACTGATTCTCAGTTATTTGGACTGAGTTTAATCAGTTAGTTTAGTTTAGCTGATTCTCAGTTATTTGGAAGGACAATCTAGGAGACAATGTATAATCAAATAAGTTGCCTAAATTGCAAGGCAAAGATAACAATTTCTAAGAAAAAATAGTGTTTTCTCAGAGAAGAATGAGCCAATTTAAAACTAAAATTGCTTTATGCTGTCCTTAACTGAGT